TTAAGAACAGAACATACCAGTTTTAGTTAAAAAAAAATTTTTTTTGAAGAGAGCCATTTTACTAAAACTGGGAGGATCCCTGAGTGTAGGAACTAGGTGCAATTTGTTCATCATATGTAGGCAGGCTGTGTGTTCTCTGCTTAGGATGTTCTTGCTCATTTTGTCTGCCAAGAGTCCTGCTAGCCCTTGAATGTCTAGAGACAGCCCAGAGCCCCTCTCCTTATGGTCATTGTTAATAGTCCCTTCTCTTGTTCTCCCACAGCACTTACAGAACACTTTATGTTTCGTCTCTAAATTGAGATTTCCCTCTAAGCGTTTAGTAATCTTTTTCACAGCACGTCATAATATTAGATGCCAAATAAATGTTAGTTGAATTTGAGAGAGCAATGGAAATATAGGTCTCACTTAGGAGACAATACATAATCTAACAGGATTTCAGCTTTATTTGTATTTGAGCACGTTTTTAAATCTTAGAATTCTGAATGACCTGAAGTAATTCAATTTACAAAAGAACGTTAAACATGTAAGGGATGAAAAAAAAAAAACATGTAAGGGATGATTACAGTATGATTGGGGTGGGGGGATGGTTGATGCTGGCCAAACAGTATAAACTTCCAGGTGTACATAAAATGAGTAAGTTCTGGGGATTCTCCTGTACAGCATAGTGATTATAACTAATAATACTTAAAGTTACTAAAAGAGTAGATCTTAAATGCTCTTATCACAAAAAAGGAAATGATAATTAAGTGATATAATGCAGTTGTTGGCTAATGCTATAGTGGTGATCATTTTTGCAATATATAAGTATCAAATCAACCTGAAATTTGTACATTTTAAATTTGTACAATGTTACGTTAATTATATCTTTTTTTATAACAAATTTATTTTTTATTGGTGTTCAATTTGCCAGCATACAGAATAACACCCAGTGCTCATCCCGTCAAGTGCCCCCCTCAGTGCCCGTCACCCATTCACCCCCACCCCCCGCCCTCCTCCCCTTCCACCACCCCTAGTTCGTTTCCCAGAGTTAGGAGTCTCTCATGTTCTGTCTCCCTTTCTGATATTTCCCACACATTTCTTCTCCCTTCCCTTATATATTCCCTTTCACTATTATTTATATTCCCCAAATGAATGAGAACATATAATGTTTGTCCTTCTCCGATTGACATACTTCACTCAGCATAATACCCTCCAGTTCCATCCACGTTGAAGCAAATGGTGGGTATTTGTCGTTTCTAATGGCTGAGTAATATTCCATTGTATACATAAACCACATCTTCTTTATCCATTCATCTTTTGATGGACACCAAGGCTCCTTCCACAGTTTGGCTATTGTGGACATTGCTGCTTTAAACATCGGGGTGCAGGTGTCCCAGCATTTCATTGCATCTGTATCTTTGGGGTAAATCCCCAGCAGTGCAATTGCTGGGTCGTAGGGCAGGTCTATTTTTAACTCTTTCAGGAACCTCCACACAGTTTTCCAGAGTGGCTGCACCAGTTCACATTCCCACCAACAGTGTAAGAGGGTTCCCCTTTCTCCGCATCCTCTCCAACATTTGTGGTTTCCTGCCTTGTTAATTTTCCCCATTCTCACTGGAGTGAGGTGGTATCTCGTTGTGGTTTTGATTTGTATTTCCCTGATGGCAAGTGATGCAGAGCATTTTCTCATGTGCATGTTGGCCATGTCTATGTCTTCCTCTGTGAAATTTCTGTTCATGTCTTTTGCCCATTTCATGATTGGATTGTTTGTTTCTTTGGTGTTGAGTTTAATAAGTTCTTTATAAAAAAATAAGTTCTTTATAGATCTTGGAAACTAGCCCTTTATCTGATACGTCATTTGCAAATATCTTCTCCCATTCTGTAGGTTGTCTTTTAGTTTTGTTGACTGTATCCTTTGCTGTGCAAAAGCTTCTTTTTTTTTTAAATGTGCAAAAGCTTCTTATCTTGATGAAGTCCCAATAGTTCATTTTTGCTTTTGTTTCTTTTGCCTTCATGGATGTATCTTGCAAGAAGTTACTGTGGCTGAGTTCAAAAAGGGTGTTCCCTGTGTTCTCCTCTAGGATTTTGATGGAATCTTGTCTCACATTTAGATCTTTCATCCATTTTGAGTTTATCTTTTGTATGGTGAAAGAGAGTGGTCTAGTTTAATTCTTCTGCATGTGGATGTCCAATTTTCACAGCACCATTTATTGAAGAGACTGTCTTTCTTCCAATGGATAGTATCTTAATAAAGCTAGAAAAAGGGACACCTGGGTGGCTCAGTGGTTGAGCATCTGCCTTCAGCTCAGGGTGTGATCCCGCGGTCCTGGGATCAAGTTCTACATCGGACTCCCTCCATGGAGCCTGCTTCTCCCTCTGCCTATGTCTCTGCTTCTCTCTGTGTGTCTCTCATGAATAAATAAATAAAATCTTTAAAAAAAAAAGCTAGAAAAAATAATTACACTATGCTCACTACTATTCTATAACCCTACCTTAAGAATTATCTGTAAAAGCAGTCACAGCCACTGTACTTTTTACCTGGTCACTCTTAAGTGTCATGTCACTGCTTAAGTGCCCTGACTACTTTCATATATTTCCAAAAGGCAAAGTTCCAGTGAAATCATTATTTTAAATGCTGTGATAGTCTCCCTGCTTCCTATCTTACTTACACCACATTGTATCCATTCTACACTGTTACACAGCCTGCTCAGTTTACCCTTTCATTTAACAGATGTTTTTTTTAAAGATTTTATTTATTTATTCATAGAGACAGAGAGAGAGAGACAGAGGCAGAGACACAGGCAGAGGGAGAAGCAGGCATCATACAGAGAGCCTGACGTGGGACTCGATCCAGGGTCTCCAGGATCACGCCCTGGGCTGCAGGCGGCGCTAAACCGCTGCGCCACCGGGGCTGCCCATTTAACAGATGTTAAATGGGATGCCTGCGTGGCTCAGCAGTTGAGCATCTGTCTTTGGCTCAGGGCATGATCCAGGGTCCCAGGATGGAGTCCCGCATCAGGCTCCCTGCAGGGAGCCTGTTTTTCCCTCTGCCTATGTCTCTGCCTCTCTCTCTCTATGTCTCTCGTGAATGAATAAATAAAATCTTTAAAAAAAAAGATGTTACATAACAATTACATGTACCCAATTGTAACCAGAATTCAGCATCACATGAAGGATTTAATGAAGAATCTGGCAACAACCACTACTATATGGCACAGCATGTTGAAAACTGTCAAAATATTTCTCTGACTAAGCATTTTTTGAGAAAGACTAGCTCTGTGTTGGAATTGCTTGCTATCACTCAGAATTCTAAATAACGTGATTTGGGGAGAAAAGAGGCGCCTCGCCTACATTGGCAGGTGATACTTCATGCTTTTAGGTCCTTTATTTGGTAGGGAGAGTTGGTAATGTGAATGATAAAGTAAGTGATATTTTTGTAAGATAAGCATGGAGGTTTGAAAGCATGGGCACATTTGACCCCTTTTTAAAACTGCTCATTAGAGGGATCCCTGGGTGGCGCAGCGGTTTGGCGCCTGCCTTTGGCCCAGGGCGCGATCCTGGAGACCCGGGATCGAATCCCACGTCGGGCTCCCAGTGCACGGAGCCTGCTTCTCCCTCTGCCTGTGTCTCTGCCTTTCTCTCTCTCTCTGTGACTATCATAAATAAATAAAAATTAAAAAAAGCCTGCTCATTAGAGTAGATCAAAGGGGAACAATAGATTAGAAAAGCAAATTCTCGGGTGTATCCCCAGTACCATACCTTAAGAATCAGTAGAGTAATAGAATGTTCTATACGCCAGGTGCCCATTGAAATTTCTAAGGAATTGGAGAAGGCACTGAAAAATGGGCAGGTTCATTAAAACACCCAAAGACTCCAGATGCCTATGAGGAGAAAATTTGTCATACTGAAACTAAGATACTACTTTTTAGTATAGTGGACTTTTCCGCTATTCTCAAGTAAACTGGATTTTTCTAACTACATGACAAATGGAAGACAAAAGCCCTTGAGATCCTAGATACTTTTTATTAAATATCCACATCTGATTCTAATGTATATATGAGTTATAATAAAGATGACTGCATATTAAATAATGCATATTTCTCTGACCTAGATGCCTCATTTTGTAACCTATAGCTAACCACTTCTATTCTCTTGAGGTTTGTTTTGTTTTATTTATCAAATTCTATATTCTCTGTAATTCTATGTTGTTTCCATGCCCCACTGTAGACAGAATTTTACCTAAGTTCCTCAGCTTCTTAAGAAAGCTGAGAATATCCCAACCTCTTGAGAAAGTTCCCCAGACCTTATTCCCAGGTATACAGGAAATGCCTTGATTTTAGTACAGTGAGCCACAATCATCTATCCTAGGGAACCCCAAAGACCACTATTTTTTTCTCTATTCCTTTCCATTCTATGGCTCATTATCCTTCATCTTTCATTTTGCTGGAATCCAGTTGCCCTAGTTTTAACACCAAACTCTTAAGATATCTGCAGTTTTGTCATATATACAAGGGGCCATAGGTCCCAGCTTTCCAAAAACAGTTTCAGTTTATGCCCATCCTTCAGTACAATTATTAATAGAAACCTCTTTCATCCTTAAAGGTCCTGGTATAGACAATTATATGTTTGCCTAGCCATAGAATACATAGAAGGTATTTCTTGCTCTACCACAGGTATAGACAAGTAAGTATATACAAAGATTGGGGAGCTTTTTCTTTTTTTAAGATTTTATTTATTCATGAGACACAGGCAGAGGGAGAAGCAGGCTCCATACAGGGAGCCCGACGTGGCACTTGATCCCGGGACTCCAGGATCACACCCTGGGCCGAAGGCAGGCGCTAAACCACTGAGCCACCCAGGGATCCCCGATTGGGGAGCTTTTTCCTTCGTGATTCCCATTGTCCTCCAGTTTATGTGGCCTATAATAATTCAAACATAGTTTCTAATTATTGCAATTTGACTGTAGAACTGACCATCACTGGGTAATAACCTCTTGAAACTAATCTCTTGTCTGTTCCCAGGTTCCTCTACTGGCCGAAGTTTATGGTATAGAGGGAAATATTTTCAGGCTTAAAATAAATGAAGAAACTCCCCTGAAACCCAGGTATGAAGTTCCTGATGTCCTCACAATCAAGCCCAGCACTGTAAGGTAAGCCAGGGATCTTGCACATGCCCCCAATATGGTCTTTCATTATACTTTGAGTAGCAGATTTTATGTGTGCCTCCTATTTTTTCTAGTCAAAGCTACGATCATTTGCAGAGTTTGTTTTCAGTTATTTGGGGATATATTTATCCATTTTGTATATTATCCATTTTGTTTTCTCTTCCTCCACCATCTGATTTATTGGCACTTATAAATGGGGAGAGGCAGAGCTTTTGATTCCTGCTGTCCTTCTCACAAAAAAAAAAAAGGATTCATCAACCAGACTTTGGGAATAAATAGAAGCAGAGCTATTTAATTTACTCAGATTAGCAGCAGGACTCCAGAGATCTAATACACTAGCCAAACTCCCGTGCTTACCATAATTTATACAGTTAGGCTGACTCACTTTTAATTAAGGGTAGTCTCAGAAGTCTAACATGTAATTTGACTTAGAGTCAGAGATAAATTAATAACCAGTGTCAAGGTGAAAAAAAATCTTTGGGGATTAAAAAGCATTTTTCATATACTTACAGCATCTTCTTTAGTTCTCAGCATATCTTTCAGTGATATTTCAACTTGGTTCTGCCTGTTAATTCTTGTTATTGTTTTATATTATTTCACTAAGGGTAGATAAGATTATGCCAGATGCTTTTATTTTCACTATATCATTATCATAGTTTTATGTAGATAATTTTTCATAAAAATTTAATAGTCAAAAGATTATAAGGAGAAACTATTTCAATTATAGTAGAATCACCATAAATTCAAAATAGGTCTCTATTCATTGAGCTGCTAGTATGCCAAGGACTTAGGAAACCAGAAGTAAAAAGAGACTGTTTTCAAGGCTTTGCAGTTTGCATGCACATTTGTGTTTATGCTTGTGTGTGTTGGGGGGGAGGATGTGTACTTGGTCACAATGTATTATTTTTTACTATGCTGGAGGATTCAGTTTACTGGTAGATTCTTTTTTTTTTTTTTTAAACATTTTATTTATTTATTCATGATAGTCACACAGAGAGAGACAGAGAGGCAGAGACACAGGCAGAGGGAGAAGCAGGCTCCATGCACCGGGAGCCCGACGTGGGACTCGATCCCGGGTCTCCAGGATCGCGCCCTGGGCCAAAGGCAGGCACCAAACCACTGCACCACCCAGGGATCCCTACTGGTAGATTTTTAACATTTTTTACATCTATGTTCTTAAGTAAAATTCATCTGTACTTTTTCTTTTTCTGTGTTATTTTTACTGTGTTTTAGGGTCAGGGTGATAACTACTTTGTGTAGTAAATATGGCATATTCTGCTTCTATTCCAACCTCTTTCTAGAGGGCCTGTGGCTACTGTAGTAACTAGAAAGCTGAAAACTACATTCTTCCATCTCCCCTATTCCCATGGCATCTAGTTTCTGGTATAATTCAGGTTCTACCAATCAGGTGCACTTACAGGGATCTTGATTTAAGAACTCAGCTTCCCATTTTGCTAGTGTGGATTTGGCAGATATAGAATGTCTCTAGAGGCACACTAGTTAGGGAAGTAATTTCCTAATCTCTGGAGCTAACGTGGCATGATCTTGGAGCCCAGCAGTTGCCTTGGTGTCTTCTTTTCCAGCTTCCTGATTCTAGCTGCAATAGAAGTTCCATTGACCATACAGTTATGTAGTGTTGTTCTAGGGGTCATTACTATTACCTCAACACTTCCCATGATGTTGTAAGCTCCCAATTCCCCCATATTAAGTTACTTATTTTCTACTTAAATAGCCAGAGTTTTTTCTTTAATCTACAGTTGACTCTTAGTTGATAGTTTTTAGTATCAGAAGTGAGTATAAGCAACAAACCCTCCAGGATGGGAATATGAGATTGGTTAGATGATTTGGCTGGATTTGAAGGTAGCAAAGACCTGGTTACCATTATAGGATGGGATATTAATGTTAAGGACTGAATTGTGCTCCCCCCCACCTAAACTCATTTGTTGAAGCCCTAACCTCCTTTTTTGTTTTTCTTTTTTGTATATTTTTTATTGGAGTTAGATTTGCCAACATATAGTATAACACCTAGTGCTCATTCTGTCAAGTGCCCCCCTCGGTGCCCATCACCCTGTCACCCCATCCCCCCACCCACCTCCACTTCCACTACCCCTTGTTGGCTTCCCAGAGTTAGGAGTCTCTCATGTTTTGTTACCCTCTCTGATTTTTCCCACTCATTTTCTCTCCTTTCCCCTTTAATCCCTTTCACTATTTTTTTTATATTCCCCAAATGAATGAAAGAAACCATATAATGTTTGTCCTTCTCCGATTGACTTACTTCACTCAGCATAATACCTTCCAGTTCTATCCATGTAGAAGCAGATGGTGGGTATTCATCATTTCTAATGGCCGAATAATATTCCATTGTATATATAGACCACATCTTCTTTATCCGTTCATCTTTCAATGGACACTGAGGGTCCTTCCACAGTTTGGCTATTGTGGACATTGCTGCTATGAATATTGGGGTGCAGGTGTCTCGGCTTTTCACTGCATCTGTATCTTTGGGGTAAATCCACAGGAGAAGCCCTAACCTCCTGTACCTCAGAATGTGACTATATTTAAAGGTAGGGCCTTTGAAGAGGTAACTGAGTTAAAATGAGGTCATTAGGGTAGACTCTAATATTGTATGACTTGTGTCCTATAAGAAGAGGAGATTAGGACACAAGTAACACAGACAGAGGGATGACTGTGTGAGGATGTAACAAGAAGATGGCCATCTGGGGATCCCTGGTGGCGCAGCGGTTTGGCGCCTGCCTTTGGCCCAGGGCGCGATCCTGGAGACCCGGGATCGAATCCCACGTCGGGCTCCCGGTGCATGGAGCCTGCTTCTCCCTCTGCCTGTGTCTCTGCCTCTCTCTCTCTCTCTCTCTCTCTCTCTCTCTCTCTCTCTGTGACTATCATAAATAAATAAATAAATAAATAAATAAATAAATAAATAAATAAATAAATAAATAAGAAGAAGAAGGCCATCTGAAAGCCAAGGAGAAAGGTCTCGGAAGAAACCAAACCCACTGACACTTTGATCTTGAACTTCCAGCCTGTAGAATTTTGAGAAAATAAATTTCTGTAGTTTAAGCTACCCAGGGTGGTATTTGTTGTGGCAGACCTAGCAAACTAATACAACTAGCAGTAAACCACAGCATTCCATGGCAGAGTTACTTAAATTACTACCTGTGGTCAACTAAAATAAAGCATATATTGAAAATATGGCCCCTGCAGACCAAGAAATAGGGGCATAGAATAGCACAATTATCAAAGAACTCAAAATTCTGAAGTGGCCTATTACTAACTTCACTGAAGAACTTAAAGAAAGCAAAGTACAGTATCAGGTTTTGAATTCTTAGTTCAGGCATTCTCAGAAACCAAATACGTTTTTATGATAGTCCTAAAAGTCTCTCACATCTGTTATAGCGATAGCTATAGCTGAAAATCAGGTACAGAGTTTGAGTCCATGATTTGCTGACTTAGACCATGAGTTTAATTCACAGCCTCATCAGTTCTGAGAATTTAGGGCACTGACTGGGAAAAGGGAAAATTAAAAAGCAACATTTGGGAAGATTTGAATAACTGAGTACCTAAACCTCAGAATTCCACCGAGCTTCCTATTCCAGCAGAAGCAACTCCTTTTCCTCTAATAAAGCTGATCCTACCTGACTTGGACACCCTGTGTTGACCTCACCTAAGATATATTTTGCAAGGGGATTCCAGGACTTCTTGTGCCTCAACCTACCATCCTTCATTGCTGCTAAACTCACCATCAGAAACCATCATGACTACAGAGCTAATTACAGTCAAACCTTTATACCTGAAGAATTACAAGATTTTTTTTTGCTGGCAAAAGTCCTGGGAATATGGATGGAAATGATTTCTGAGAGATTCCTAGACTGAAGGAAGGAACATAATTTTAGGACCACATTAAATTTATTGACATGGGTACATGTACCAGAGAATCTAGATTTGATATGCTAGCTTGGACAGCTGCAAGTGGGTCTAATTATTGCTTGGCTGGCTAATTATAATTTATATTCATCTATGGGCTCTGCTGAATGAAGTTGAGATACCAGAAATTCCTTGGCACAGAGTAGAAAGACTTAGGATATCCATAGACTTAGAAAGGTAAAGATATTGACGTGGATATATCATATGCAACAGCTCATCTAGCCCCTAATTTTGTTCTCCAAGAGGATCCAAAGGATACTCCCTTCACTGAGAAATATATTGGTGAGGGAACACTTGGAAAGCACTATACTCAATGAATGTCTTTTGTGAGCTAGAAATAATGGTGGGAAATGATGCTATCAAAATGGGCTCCCTGATTTCAGTGGAGATGATGAGACTCCAGGTGGCAGAATGAAAAGTAGCAGCATTTAGTTGTTAGAGACAAGGTGAAGATGTTTCCATAATGTACAGCAGTGCATGTATGGTACCCAAAATGGTTTAACCCTCAAGTCAGTGAACAATGTATCCAAGGTCCCCTGGACTGGAATAGATGCACTAAAGTCCTACTTGAGGGATCCCTGGGTGGCGCAGCGGATTGGCGCCTGCCTTTGGCCCAGGGCACGATCCTGGAGACCCAGGATCGAGTCCCACATCGGGCTCCCGGTGCATGGAGCCTGCTTCTCCCTCTGCTTGTGTCTCTGTGCCTCTCTCTCTCTCTCTCTCTCCCTCTGTGACTATCATAAATAAATAAAAATTAAAAAAAAAATAAAGTCCTACTTGATAGAACAATCAAAAGAACTCCATTTCGGTTTGATGAACAGTGAGATACAACCTCTCACAAAAATCCAGACAGTTTCTAGAACCCAGGCATCTTGAAGGGGAAGCCTAGAATCCATGGAGAAGGACTTCATAAGGATATAATAACATAAAATATCCCCCCTCACCTTCCCTAAAGAGGCAGGTGACCATTTACCAGGGTGACTGCACCAGAGACAGAAATATCTAGACCTCTCAAAGAATGTAAGTCCTGCCTCTGAGCTTACATAATTCCTGGGGATCCAGAATATTCTAACAGTCTACCTGTCAAATCAAGGACTGATGAGAGGAGAGATTCCATCTCACTGTGGACTCAGTGGATCAAAATCCAACCTATGTTATTTCCTTAGTTTTTGAGTGTACGGTTGGGATGAGAGAAAAAAGCAAAGTGTTTAGTGCAACAAAGAGTTACTAGACTGTCCAGACCAGGGTAATAATGATGCTAGCTAACATTTATTGAGTGCTTATTATGTGCCAGGCTCTGCCAAGTACTTTGCATATATGATCTCACTTAATTCTCCCTGAGAGCTCTATTTGTTCTTGCTTTTATTAGTTCTACTTTACAGATGAGGAAACTGAGAACTGGGTAGACTGATTAATTCAACTCAATCTCACGACCCTGAGATCATGATCTGAGCTGAAATCAAGAGCCAGACACTTAAACTGACTGAGCCATCCAGGCACCCCATTTACACATGAATTTGAATTGAGAATCACATTGAGCCATGTAAACCTGTTTTTCTCTTCTAACTTCGTTTTCTAGGCTGATTTCATGCTCAAGGGATGCAGGTAGTCTGGTATTGGCAGATGGAAAAGGAGATCTGAAGTGTCGTATCACAGCAAACCCATTCAAGATAGATTTGGTGTCTGAAGAAGAGATTGTGATGAGCATAAACTCCCTGGACCAATTGTACTTTGAGCACCTGCAGATTCCTCTCAAGCAAAGGTATTTTTGCACATTACTTGACATGTAAACGACTTTAGAAAACCAGATTGTGATTACTAATTGCCTAAATAGTTGTTATATCACCATGGAAAATTGGTTCGCCGTATTTGCTGGAATATTGTTATGAAGTCTTTCATCTTTTTACCTGTGCAAGTAAATGCAAGCTTGATGACAAGAATAATTCCTAGACATTTGCAACTCAATACTCTTAACACATCCTGTGTCTTTAACTGATGGCATTCTCTACTCTCTATACTCTTAAAAAACACTCTATTGTGACTTGATAAATGTTAACATGAATTGATTTGCCTTCAGAATTTCACTTTATCCCCTTGTAATAACTTGAGTTATCCTACACTTGAATAGTTGTCCAAGAATTTTCAGAAAACAATTTCTTATTCAAAGCTGTTTATGTGGGGACGCCTGGGTGGCTCAGCGGTTGAGCACCTGCCTTTGGCCCAGGGAGTGATCCCGGAGTCCCAGGATCGAGTCCCACATCGGAGTCCCCAAAGGGAGCCTGCTTATCTCTCTCTACCTATGTCTCTGCCTCTCTCTCTGTGTCTCTCATGAGTAAATAAATAAAATCTTTAAAAAAAAAAAAACTGTTTATGTGGAGGTGAACTGGGAGGTAGTAATAGGGGGAGGTTCTTCTTCCATTTTTACCAATATTGTTTTTAAGTCCTCCAGTCTGTAGTTCTGTCTACTTTTATCCTAATAATAAACGTCTTATGTAATCTGTAGAAAGCATTCAACATTCATTATTCCCACATAGTGATTTTCCCATATAATAAGTCAACTTATTTATATTTTATACCTAAAAATTTTCTTATTACAGAGATAATATCTCTGTAATTCATTATAGGAAAAATAGAAAATATTAAAAAGAAAAATTTAAATACCTATAATTCTGCCATTTGTTAGTACTTCATGAATATTCAATTATTTTTTAACTGAAAAAAAAAAACAAACAAATAGCATAACAAATACCTCTGTACCCAGTACCTGGGTTATTTATATTTAAGATATTTTTTCTTTTAATAAACTCCCATATTTTTGTTTTAGAGATAATATCTAAATTGGGCCTTAGTATTTCTATTTTTTGGATAAGCACATGCTACACAAGGGGATACAGTGAAAAGTCTCCCTTGCCTTGCCATTTGTCCTTGAACTACCCAGTTCCATCCTTGAAAGCAGTCATTGTTTCCAGTTTTTTATGTATCCTTCCAGAGATAACTTATGTTTATATAGTAAGATATATATATAAATATGCCTTGTTTTTTTCCTTTCTTGACACATATGATATCACCTTTACACATTATTCTGTACTTTGCTATTTTTCCTTTATCAATGTGATAGTTCCTAATTTCTTTAAAGCAGCTATGTAGTTTCTGTTGTATGGTTACACCATGATTCGTTTAGTAAATTCTCTCTTGATTGACTTTAAAATTGTTTCTAATCTTGTTTTACAGCTACTTCATGGATAACTTTGTTTATGTGTCATTTTGCATACATTCAAGTACATCCATACTCTAGAGTCATAGAAGTACAATTGCTAACCAAATGGTTTGTGAGTTTGTAATTCTGACTGATGCTGCCAAACTACCTTCCACAGAGGTTGTGTACTAGTTTATATTTCCAGCATTTACATTCGTGTTAGGTAAATCAGGCTATCCACCTAGAAAAAAAATTTAAGTTAGATCCAAACCTCACAACATTAGCAAAAATGAATTCCAGATAAAAAATATTACACATTAAAAAAAATTTAAGAGAGACAAAATCAAAATGGTGATGTAGGAAGATTTTGAGCTTGCCTCCTCGCACACACACATCAAAATCTACAATTACATATAGAAAACTACCTCTGAGGTGCACCTGGGTGGCTCAGTCAGTTAAGTGTCTGGCTCTTGATTTCAGCTCAGGTCATGAGTTCAGGCCCCACATTGGGCTCCACACTAGGCGTAAAACCTACTTATAAAAAAAAGAAAACTATCTCTGAGGACAAACTAAAGACTAGCAGAACAGATCATACACAACTAAGGATATAAAGGAAAAAAACCTCAAGATGGGTCTGAGGAATCCAGACATAGTTTGGTCAGGTCCCACATCCCCAGAGGCAACACTTGAAAGTTGCATGGGTTACATGTGAAGGAGATCCATTGACTAATTTTAGGATGGCAGGAATCTGTTGGAATGCCCTCTAGGGACAGATGCACTGGTGGGTACCATTTTTCTTCTTTTACCTGGTTGGCCCAGTGTTGGTGGGTGTCATTTCTGGCACTCTCTATCTCCTGTGTTAGCACCACTTTCCCAGTCCAATGTTCCCATGCAGACTTGATCTACCCAAGCCATTTCTCACCCTGGAGACTCTCCCAAGTGTCTCTGTACCCTGGCATTCCTGGTGGCCACCTTTGGCTAGCATCAGAGCTCCTCTTAAGCAACCTTCAACCTCAGCACTTGAAGTGGGCAGCCTCAGCTGGTATCAGAACCCCTCCTAAGCATCTCCGGCTTCAGGGGCCAGCCCTGCACACTAGAACACCTACAACAGGCACAGCTGGACCGCTCAGCAAGCCACACAGGACACGTGCCCCACTCATCAGTGCACCACAGTGTCATATCCAGGCCTCACAGCGAGCCACGGCAGGGACCAACTCCACACACCAGCATATCCACATTAGTCACAACCATGCCTCTCAGTCAGATAGGCCAGGGGCTAGTCCCACGAACCAGCATGACCATAGCAGTCACAGCCAGACCTCACAGACAGTCATGCTGGAGGGTAGCCCCACACACCTTGGTGAGCCTGCACCAATTGCAACCCAGTCACTACAGGAAGGTATACACAGCATACACACGGAACACTCTTGGGGCACCTAACTGTGGTGAGAAGGGGGTCTGTGCTACTGGGCCCACAGGACACCTTCTGCATAAAGCCATTCCTTCAAGATCAGGAGATATAATTGATCTACCTAATGTGTGGAAACAAACAGAGAGTTGGGCAAAATGAGGAGACAGAAGAATATGTTCCAAATGAAAGAATAAGACAAAACTTCAGAAGAAAAACCAAAGAAACAGAGATAAGCAATCTACCAGATAAAGAATTTAATGGTCATAAAAATGCTCACCAAACTCAGGAAAAGAATGGATGAACACAGTGAAAACTTAGACAAGGAAGTAGAAAATACAAAAAGAACCCATCAGCTGTAGGATATAATAACTGAAGTAAAAAATACACTAGAGGGAAACAACAGATTAGATGATGCAGAAGAACAGATCAGCGATCAGAAGAGAGAGTATTGTAAATCACCCAACAGAGCAGCAAAAAGAAAAAAACTTTTTTTAAAATGAGGATAGCTTAAGGAACCTCTGGGACATCAAGCAAACTAACATTCACATTATAGGGGGGTCCCAGAAGGAGAAGAGAAAGAGAGAGACAGAAAACCTATTTAAAGAAATAATGTGGGCACCTGGGTGACTCAGTTGGTTAAGCATCTGACTTTAGCTCAGGTCATGATCTCAGGGTACTGGGGTCGAGCACCATGGGGGCCCTGTGCTCATTGGGGAGTCTCTTTCTCCTTTGCCCTCTGCCCCTCCCCCAGTCATTTTCTTTCTCTCTCTCTCTCTCTCTCTCTCTCTCTCTCTCTCTCTCATAAATAAATCTTTTTTTAAAAAAAAAAGAAAAGAAACAAAGAATGGCAGAAAACTTCTCTAACCTGGTGAAAGAAATAGACATCCAAGTCCACAAAGTACAGAGCTCAAATAAGATGAACCCAAAGAGACCCACCTCAAGACACATTACAGTGGAAGAATCAATAGTTAAATATGAAAGAATCTTATAAGCAGCAAGGGAACCCCCCTAAACTTGATAGGGCAGAAGGAAATGACGCTATATATTCAAAGTGCTGATAGGAGAAAAACTTAGAATAATTTATATGGCAAGGTTATCCCTTAGAATTGAGGGAGAAATAAGGGGTTTCCCAAATAAGCAAAAGCCAAAGGAGTTCATCAATATGAAACCAGCCTTCTGAGAAACGTTAAAGGGACTTCCTTAAATGGAAAAGAAAAGTCCATAACTAGAAATAAGAAAATTATAAAAGAAAAAAATCTCACTGGTAAAGGTAAACATAATAAAGGCAGCAGTTCAACCACCTGCACAGCTTGTACAAGGCAAAAGAACAAAAGTAATGGGGCATCTGGGTGGCTCAGTTGGTTTAAACATCTGCCTTCAGCTCAGGTCATGAACCCCCATGTTGGGTTCCCTGCTCAGCAGGGAGTCTGCTTCTCACTCTCTTTCTCAAATACATAAGATCTTTAAGGAAAAAAAAAAAAACAAAAGTAGTAAAACTATCTAGATCTACAATAATTAAATCAAGGGATACACAATAAGATGTAAAATACAACATCCAAAACATAAAACATGGTGTGAGAGGAGTAAAAATGTAGTGCATTTAGAATATGCTTGAACTTAAGTTACCAAACAGACTCTAAAACAAAGACTATAACAAGAAACAAAGAAGGCCATTACATAGGATAAAGGGAAAGATCCAACAAGAAATGACACATTAGACCAGATGAGCTTTTTATACCCACATACATGTACATAAACAGACATTCCATCCAAAAACAGCAGAATATAGTCTTTTCAAGTACACATAGAACATTCTCCAAATTAAATCTGGAGATCTAACCTATTAAGCCACAAGATAAGTCTCAGTAAATTTAAGAAGGTTGAAATCATTATTAAGAATATTTTCCGGCTACAACGTTAGGAAGCTAGGAATAAAGTATAAGAAGAAAACTGGAAAAAAACACATTCCAGTTTTTAAAATCCTATTTTATTAAATTCATATAAATCAATGGATTGATAGGGCAGCTAAAGTAAAAACTTTGAGACTTCATCAGAGCATTGTCATGAGGCAGGAAAGTCTTTTCTAAAATTTTAGATTGATAAAAATTTTAAGTGTATAAGGCCCCGTATTAAGAATGAGAAATGAGCTCTCAAATCCAACTGTACATGAAAGAATAAGTTGTCACAATCATTTTGGAAGAGAGTGTGTTATGTTGCTCTATTCTAGGGTAACATTGGGTAAGGGCAGCTTGTTCTACCTTGCTTGCTTATATCTTGTTTAAATAGTGTATTATATATTACATGTACTACATGTATAATAAAAAACTGGTAAAGTTTTCAAAGGTAAACAAGGAAATTGAAATATATCTACATTTTAATAAATCAAGCTATTAGATTAATGTTCGTCACAAATGTTCAATTTCATAGTTATTTTGGTAATGACATTTTTAATAAGTTAAGATATAATTTACAGTATCTCAAAAGTTAGAAATTAAAATCTTTATCACTGAACAAAATTCTGTCAGTCTTCCCATGAGTGAAACATCTTTATTTATATTAAAACAGATCTACCAAAGAAAATAAGGAGGACACATCAGTTGATGCTTCTCAGGTAATTTAGATAGACCAAATTTTTTCTTAGTCTATTTCGCCATCATTATCATGATATGGAATATAATGATTCTATTCTTCCCAGATGGGTACTTGATAATACTCTACTACATATAAATTGGGCCATGTATCTCTTTTGCTCACCTTGCAATCTCGTTAATTCTTTCATTCATCTACTCATGTGTTCATTCATTCATAAAACAGTTAATTCCTGAGTGCCTGCTTTTATTCCAGCTCAAAAAATTATGCTAGTCAAGGAGAATCGGCAGTGAATAAAACAAATCCCAGCCTATCCTCATGAATCTTAGAATCTAATGGGAAAGATGGACATTAAGTACAAGCATGAGGAGTGTTGCAGAGAGTGCTATAGGAGACTATAACAAGGAAGTTGACTAAGATGAGGGTCCGGATAGACTTCCTGAAGGAAATGATTTTCCAACTAAAACTGATGCACGAGGATACAATAGCTAGTCAAAAAGTGGGAAAAGAATATTTCAGATAGAGGAAATTTCATTTTCAAAGACCTTAAGGTAGGAAGGAACACATCTGAAGAAATTTTTTAAAACATACATACTTTTTAGCAGGCGAAAAAAAAGCAAAGAAAAAGGTATTGTATAACAAGGCCAGAGAGATAAGCCGGGCAATTCTGTGAAAAGCCTTATAATAATTCTCTTATCCAGCAACTATTGTTGAATATTTCCTATATGCCAGGCACTGTTCAAGGAATTGGTAATATATCTTGAATAAATCAAAGTCCCCCATTGCTGTAGAGCTGGCATTCTTCTATGTCTTGTTAAGGTTTTTGGGCTTTAACCTAAGGGCAAAGGAAAACTATGGAAAGGCTATAATCAACAGAGATATATGTGGCCTGATGCCTGTTTTTAAAAGATTATTTTAGCTGAATTATGGATAATGGGCATTCCAGAAATCTTCTCTTCATCCAAAGCCATGTGCATCTTTGAAAGATCCCTGACAGTAGGTATGGCCACCAGGAATGGTGAAAAAAATATTTCCAGAGCAAGGACATGCCTCCTTCCTCTTGAAACTGACGAACTAGGGGTGGTGGAAGGGGAGGAGGGCGGAGGGTGGGGGTGAATGGGTGACAGGCACTGAGGGGGGCACTTGACGGGATGAGCACTGGGTGTTATTCTGTATGTTGGTAAATTGAACACCAATAAAAAGTAAATTTATTATTAAAAAAAAAGAAACTGACCCATGCTGATGAATATGAGAGAGAATATTTCCCCCTTTTTCAAGTAGAGAAGGACAACTAAGACATAGCCTTACAGTTTTGTGATCTGTCCAATCAGCTTTGGGGAGGCCTCTAATTAGATAGCTTAGATAGTGGTTTTGCATCATAGATGCAAGAATCTGATGAAAGCTAATGAACCATTTCTGAAGAACAGAATTTTCACACTGTTTGAAGGAGTTCACAAACTCTAAAGCCCATCCATAGACCCCAGGATAATAGTCCCTACATTAAGAATTTAGATGCGATTTAAACACCCCGGCACATAGAGGCTGACTTTACAGAAGCTTATAATTATGAAGAAACCACCTAGAAATGAACAAGGGGCTCATTTTTTAAAAGAAACATGTATTTCATGCACACGCACACAATTTCTAGAAAACATTTTCATTCTACTAGAGAGAAAGAATGAAACTAGTAAAACTAAGAAAGGAAACTTGTAAAGCTGGGAAAATTTATTAGCTCTACATCAAATATTGTGAACCTGACCAGTCTTGACTCTGAAGTAGTTTGGCTAATCAAAGCAAGGTGAGGAAGTACCCATCTCATCCAAAATGTTTGATTTTTGACCTGAGTTATTTGATTTTAAATATTTTGCCTTACATAGTTTGCAAGGAAAAAAAAAGAATTTAAAAAATCTGACATATATAAAGACTGCATTTTAATTTTTTTTATTTTAAATATTTTTTTTTTTTAGAAAGTGTGTATGAGAGAGAGATCATGAGCAGGGGGTAGGGGTAGAGGGAGAAGCATATACCTCACTGATCAGGGAGCCCAATGCAGGACTCTATCCCAGTACCTTGGGACCATGACCTAAACCAAAGGCAGACGCTTGACCAACTGAGCCACCCCAGGCACCAGAATGCATTTTTCAAAGTGTTTTCACATCATTCTGGACTGTGTAAAGATAGTTATGTCAAACGGTGAGGCAGTTCCTCAAAAAATTCAACATATAATTACAATATGGTCCAGCAATTTCATTTACGGATATATATCTAAAAGGAAAAACAGAGATTCGAACAAATATTTGTATACTTGTGTTCTTAGCAGCATCATTCACAGTAGCCAAAAGGTAAAAGCAGTCCAGCAATCCAAGAGTCAGATGAATGTACAAACAAAATGTAGTATATACATACAGTGGAATATTATTTGACTTTTAAAAGGAAGGAAATTCTGACATATGCTACAAAATGGATGAATCATGAAGACATTATACGAGGTGAAATAAGCCAGTTACAAAAGGATAAATACTACATGATTCTAGTTATATGAAATATTTGCAGTAGTCAGATTTGTACAGACAGAAAGTAGAATGATTGTTGCGATGAGCTGAGGGAGGAAGGTATGGGAAGTTATTGTTTGATGGGTATGGAGATGCAGGGGCACCTGGGTGGCTCAGTCAGTTAAGTGTCTGCCTTTGGTTCAGGTCATGATCCTGGGGTCCTGGGATCGAGCCCCACATCAGGCTCCCTGCTCCATAGGGAGTCTGCCTCTCCCTCTTTCTCTGCTGCCTGCCCCCCTTCTTGTGCTCACTTGCTCCCCCACCCTCTTTATCTCTCTGTCAAATAAATAAAGTCATTTTTAAAAAATGGGTATGAAGATTCAGTTTGGAAAGATGTAAAAGTTCTGGAGATGGATGGTGATAATAGTTTACAACAATGTGAATGTACTTAATGTCATTTAATAATAACATTTATATAATTTTAAAATGATAAAAATAAAAAAAAAGGGTAGGGAGCCTCTGGCTGAATCAGTCAGTAGATCATGTGACTCCTTATCTCGGAGTCATGAGTTCAAGCCCCACTTTGGGCCTAGAGATTACTTTAAAAATAAATAAAATGGTTAAAATGGAAGATAGTTAAAATGATAGATTTTATGTTATGTCTGTTCTACCACAATAAAAAATTATTTTCATGTCAGCTACAATTCATAAGGAGGATGATTACTGGCATTTATATGAAACACAGATCAAATTTGTCAAATATACTGACATCACAAGCAGGTCTTTTAAAAGATAGACTAATTTTCTTAGTCTAATTTTTTAACAATCAAACAAAATGTGCTATTGTGGCAACCATTCAATATTATAATGTATAAATTCAATTTGCTCCTCTTTTGTGCCACCAGGAAGACCAAGAGGATCTAGGCCTGTGGGAGGAGAAATTTGGAAAATTTGTGGATGTCAAAGTTAATGGTAATATTGAAATTGGTATAGTATTGAAGCAGATCTTGCCAAAATGGCTAAATATCAGTACCTAACATCCCTTGACCCTTGGTATCCAAACAAGTGATTTCTGTAAGGGGAACAGAAATTTCAGATTTGGGGCCTCTATTCTTCAATAATGCTTTGCTACAGAACAATAGTGAGTATGTACCTTTTGTGGGGAATGTAAGAGAAGGAAGGATAGGCCTCATGCAGTTTATGGTCTCATGTTAGGGGTATAGGGCGCAGTACCCTGCTGGTACTACTCAGTATATCAGACAGCCACACATTCCACATTTTTTTTTTTTTGAGAGTCAAGTGATGAGAAACGAAGTTCTAGAGCTCATCAGCTCCAACATTGCAAGCCATTGGTTCTCAACCTTTTCTAGACCTCCTCATGAGTATCACATGCCCATCTGTGACATTTCTCACTAGACCTAGTGATGGGGGTGGGGGGGAGGTGGAGTTTGTCTCTTTAGCATATACTGTTCAGATACTTGGAGCTTATAGAGTTGGAAAAAATATTTCCCTCTTCCCTCCTACCAGTAGGATAACAGATCCTAACTCCTTGAGAATTTCTGTTCTAGCATCTATATCTATAGGCTAGTATAATGATCAGGACTGACAACATGTCCAAAATTTATAAGTAGAAGAGCCATCAGGCTTTCCTTTCTGTAACACCATAATCTATTTTACCTTCTCTGTAGCACCCCCTTTCCATAAATTCCTTTAAATAAAGACCATTTCATGTCAAATACTCTTACCTAAGAGTAGATTTAAGTCTGCTCTTTCTCCTAGTTACTTGCATTTTTACCATATCTCTAAAATAATTGTTAAATAAAGGACGTTGTCTTTGGTTTAAAAAAAACTTATATATCTACAATCACAGGGAAGAGGTATTTTGAGGAGCCCTCCTGATGCCCTTGACATTATACTCCCTACATGCAATAAGAATAAATGATCATAGAAGATACCCAGTCTTTTATCTAGTGAAGATTAAAATTGTTCAATACCCTTTATTTCCTAATGCAAAGAAATATGCCATACATTCTAGGAAAGTTTAGATTAGGAAAAAATCTAAAACCTCATAGCCATATTTTACACATAGAAAGGAGATTTACTATAAATGAGGACACAGAGAGTTTCAGCACATAGCTAAGGAAACACTAATAAGTGACCAGAACTTTGCCTTTTGCATGTTTGTATCCCCACAGTACCTGAATGTCACATCTTACAGAAAGGGCACACCAATGACTTACTGATCAAGGCAAGTTGAGGTCTCTCAAGCCCTGTCTAGTCATCTTGCTATGCTTATAGGTAACTGAATCTCCCTAATTGTCCCACAGAAAAGCAAAACTCAGTATCCTGGTCCCTACAGGTCCTGCCTCCATTGGTTTGGATTTCTCCTTGCATGGATTTGAGCATCTCTACGGGATCCCACAACATGCAGAATCACACCAACTTAAAAATACTAGGTAAAGTGAAAACAAAAATTTTTATAGGATACTCTGGTTTCTGGACTAGAAAAGTTTGAAGGAAAAATATGTGAGATGTCTGAGCCTGGATCACTATGTGCCTGGCCTCTTCCTCCTTGATATTGTTTATAGATCTTTAAGAACTTTAAGAGCAGTGGTTTTCAATTTTTATCTTTTTTTTTTTTTGGCAAGAATTTGAGAATTATAAAAACTGTAATGCTGACCTAAAATACACAGAGGAAGTAAAAATATGGAACTATTGTGATTGAAGTAGTTTAATCCCACCTCCTTGGGTTTTGCTTTTACCTCTCAAGGCCTCTGTGTGGAATTTAGGAGAATACACCGAAAATCACTGACCTAGAAAAAGGCTTTTACCAAAAAAGGACAGTAAGCCGGAGAATGGAAAGAGGTGGCATCTCGCCACCTTTGATTTTCTCAGGGAAATCACTTCAGACTATGCTATTGACAAGTAAATGCCAGAGACATCATTCTAAGAGGAAACAAGACCAAAGAGAAACAGAATCTGATCAAGTTTGCTGTGTTCAGATGCTGTTTACACAACATGTCAATAGGTGGGACTAGTAACAAGTGAATCACAAAACTGTACTGCTCACATACTAAGCCAAGCTTTGGGCTCTCCACCCCAATTCAGTTCCCCAACTTTCCCTACTCAGCACTGTGAAAGCACGTTAGGACACTATCTTTCATTTTATTTTAGAAGCAGAGAAATACTCTCAAAATTTACCAATTATATTTACTGTGTACTTGCTACTCTGGAGAATTCATAGGAAACACTCCTCACCTCACAAGAGATATTCAGAAAAGATACCTAAGCTATGAGACCACACATGCCAGTTGTCACAGAAGGGGATGCCAAAGGAATCAGAAGAGAATGGTATAAACCCTGGTTGGGTTACGGAAGTGGTAAGAGTTGAGCCTTAAACATGCATTGAACTCAAGTGTTTACAGGGGAGAATGGGGCTATACTATTTACTAATAATATATTTGCGATTATAATTGATGATAGTCCATCTTTGTGTGTTTCAGTGATGGCGATGCTTACCGTCTTTATAACCTGGATGTCTATGGATATAAAATACATGACAAAATGGGCATTTATGGTTCAGTGCCTTATCTTCTGGCCCACAAGCTAGGCAGGACTCTAGGCATTTTTTGGCTTAATGCCTCTGAAACACTAGTGGAGATCAATACAGAACCTGCAGTGAAGGTGAGCTATGGATCATGGCTGCATGTCATGCTTAGAAAGAAACAAAACCAGTGTAGTCATAACTCTGGGCTTCGTAGTGACAATTCTCTGCCACCAAAGTCTTTGCAGCATAATCCGTCAAAGTTATTATCAGTATGTACTTGTTACTTACACATGGATGATACTTACATATTGTAGGTTAGTGGAAGATTTTTCAGATCTTCATTCCATTCTTTTTCTAGTACACACTGACCCAGATGGGCCCTGTTGCAGCTAAACAAAAGATTAGATGTCGAACTGATGTGCACTGGATGTCAGAGAGTGGAATCATTGATGTTTTTCTGCTAACAGGACCTACGCCTTCTGACATCTTCAAGCAGTACTCATACCTTACAGGTACTTGTATGTGGAAGTGCCAGCCTCTCATTCCATTATATTTCCTCTATCAATGTATCAATCATTGTAAGTTAATTTGTTAACTCAGATACCATATAGAATTTATAAATAATTTACGCAAGCGTTTCAAGAAGCAAGCATTTCTCTTCCCACTTTTATCAAATTTAGCTTGGTAAAATGTTGTGTTGGGGCTAGAATTCTCTCATCTCTAATCCCTAAACTCTCCATCTACTTTCCTTGGAGACTTTAAGCCCTGGACTTTCTCTGCCTTTATCTCAGATTAGTGTCCCAATCTGAACTTTTCTGTGTTCTCTTCTCCATTAAAATATACCACTGACTTTAGCACTAAGGCATTTTATCTTTAAAAGATGTAAAAGATTATCTCTGTTGATGGAGAAAAAGCATTTGACAAAATCCAACACTATTTCATGATAAAAACTCTCAGAAGGCTAGGAATAGAAGGAAGCTTCCTCAGTATGATAAAAGGCATTTATGAAAAATCAACAGCCAACAACACCCTATTCAGGGCAAGCTTTCCCCTATGATCAGAAACAAGACAAGGCTGCCCATTTTCACCACCCCTATTGAACATTGTACTGGAAGTTCCAGCCAGAGAAGTTCGGCAAGAGAAAGAAAAGGCATTCAAATGGGAAAGGAAGAAGGGAAATTATTTCTATTCACAGATGATGTGATCCAACATGTGATCCAACATAGAAAATCCCAAAGAATCTGCTAAAAAAACTACCAAAGCTAATAAAGAAGTTCACCAAAGTTGCAGGGTATATCATCAACACAAAATCAGTTGTTTCTATATACCAACAATGAACAATTTAAAAAAGAGATTGAGAAAACAATTCCATTTACAATAACATCCAAAAGAATAAGCCACCTAGGAATAAATTTAACCAAGGAGGTGAAAGACTTGTACACTGCAAAACATTCCTGAAAGAAATTAAATAAGTCCTAAATAAATGGAAAGACATCCCATGTTCAAGGATTGGAAGTCTTAGTATTGTCAAGATAATAATATGAAAAACAATCTACGGATTGATTACAATCCCTACCAAAATTCCAGTGGTCATTTTTTTGAAGAAGTAGGAGAACTGATCTTCAAATTCATATGGAATTGCAAAGGGTTCTGAATAGCCAGATGATCCTGGAAAAAAAAATTTGGAAGACTTATACCTCTCAATTTCAGAATTTCCTACAAAGTTAAAGTAATCAAAATAGTGTGGTATTGGCATAAAGATAGACATGTAAACCAAGGGAATAGAATTGAGAGTCCAGAAATAAACCTATATATCCCTGGCCAATTGATTTCAACAAAGGTTCGAGACCATTTAATAGGGAAAGAATACTCTTTTAAATACATGGTACTGTAATAACTGGATAGCCACAAGCAAAAAATGAAGTTAGAACCCTACCATAATGCCATATATGAAAAATTCAAAATGGATCAGCAACATAAATATAAGAGCTAAAGCTATAAAACTCTTAGAAGAAAACAGGGATGAATCATCATGACCTTGGATTTGGCAACAGATACTTAGAAAAGACACCAAAATCATAAGCAACAGAAAGAAAAAGTAGGTAAGTTCAACTTTGTTAAAATTGAAAACTTGTGCATCAAAAAATATGATCTAGAAACTGAAAAGCCTGGGATGCCTGAGTGGCTCAGCTGTTGAGTGTCTGCCTTTGGCTCAGGGTGTGATCCCAGTGGTCCAGAATCGAATTCTGTATCAGGCTCCCTGCGAGGAGTCTGCATCTCCCTCTGCCTGTGTCTCTGCCTCTCTCTGTCTCTCTCATGAATAAATAAATAAAACATTTTTTAAGTGAAAAGGCAATAAGCAGAATGGGAGAAAATATTAGCAAATCATGTATTTGTTGTGGGTTTAATTTCCAGGGTATATAAAGAACTCATACAACTCTACAACAAAAAGATAATTCTAAAATAGGCAAAGGACTTGAATAGACAGTTCTCTAAAGATATACAAATGGATTAATAGGCACATAAAAAGTTGTTCAACATCATTAGTCATTAGGAAAATGAAAATTAAAACCATGTAAGATACCACTTCATAACCACTAAGATGGCTAAATTTTTTTTTTTTTAAGATTTTACCCATTTATTCATGATAGTCACAGAGAGAGAGAGAGAGAGGCAGAGACACAGGCAGAGGGAGAAGCAGGCTCCATGCAGGGAGCCCGACACGGGATTCGATCTCCAGGATCGTGCCCCGGGCCAAAAGGCAGGCACTAAACCGCTGCGCCACCCAGGGATCCCAAGATGGCTAAATTTTTTAAAAATAGAAAGTAATAGCACCTGGGTGGTTCAGGCAGTTCAGCGACTGCTTTGGGCTCAGGTCATGATCTCATGGTCCTGGAATTGAGCGGGCATCAGGATCCCTGCTCAGCGGGGAGCCTGCTGCTCCCTCTGTCCGTCAGTCCCCCTGCTTGTGCTCTCATTCTCTTTCTGTCAAATTAATTAGTTAATTAAAAAATAAAATAGAAAATAATAAGTGTTGGTGAGGATGTGGAGAAATTGGAACTTTATACATTGCTGGTGGGAACATAAAGTAGTTCAGCTGCTCTGAAAACAGTTTGGCAATTCATCAAAAAGCTAAACATAGACTTTTATGTGTCAGTTTGCCTAGGTCATAGTACCCAGATATCTGGTTGAACACTAGTCTAGATGTCACTGTGAAGGTATTTTTTATGACATTATACTCTCAGTACTATTTAGTTACATGAATAGACTTTGAATAAAGCACATTACTCTCCATGTGGGTGGGCTTCATCCAGTCATTTGAAAACCTTAAGAGAAAAAGACTGAAGTCCTTTGAAAAGAAAGGAATCTGTCTCCAGAGTGCCTTCATATTTGAATGCACCTGCCCTGGGTCTTTGGTCTGCCAGCCTACCCTGTGGAATTCAGACTTGCCAGCCCCCACAAACACATGAACCAGTTCTTAAAATCAGTCATTCTCTCTCTCTCTGTATGTGTGTGTGTGTATATGTGTGTATATATAGACACACACACACACACACACACACACATCCAGTTGGTGCTTTTCCTCTGCGGAACTCTAATACACCCAACAATTCTACTAAAATTGGATGCTTGGATATTTGGATGCCAGTGATCATTGCAGCACTATTCACAGTAGCCAAAGATGGAAACAATCCAAGTACCTATCAAAGATGCATGGATTAACAAAATATGTTAAATTAATAAAATGGACTATTCAATTATAACAAGGGGAATGACATTCAGATACGTGCTGCAACATGAATGAACTGTAAAAGTATTATGTAAAATGAAATAAGCCAGACAAAAAAGGATAACTACTGTATCATTCCACTTACATGAAGTACCTACTATAGGCAAATTCATAAGAGACAAAAAGTGGATTAGCTATTACCAGAGGCTGAAGGGTGGGATGGGTAGTAGAAAGTTATGGCTTACTGGTTACAGTTTCAGTCTGGGGTAATATTAAAGTTTTGGAAATAACTAGTGGTAATGCTTACACTACATTGTGAACGTAATTAATGCTACTGAATTGTAAACTTCAAAATGGTTAAAGTGGCAAATTTTGTGTTATACATGTATTTGCCACAATTTAAAAAAAATGGTAATATACTCCCCACATTTAATTGTGTGCTTTAAGTGGGTGAATTTTATGGTTTGTGAGTTACATCTCAATACAGCTATTACAAGTAAAAGTAATGCAGCATCGCTTCTGCTGCATTCTGTTAAAAAGTCCTTGGGTGCAGTCCATGTTTAGGGGAAGAGGAATTTGATTCCAACTTTGATGAGAGAAACAACCAAAAATTTATGGACATGGGAAGACATCTATTTAGGAAAAAGGACTGTTAAGGCCCACCTACAGGCCCTTTTAACATTTTTATTACAGAGAATAAGCCTGGTTTATAGGAAAATGCTTTAAAAATGGTGCATCTGCCACCATGTTCAAAGAAATCCAAGTTTTAAGTATATGGATTTTCTACTGACTCCTGATGAGGATTTAACTCGATCATATCCCTCCTTCTTCTCTCCCAATATTGTGTCATCATTTTTGGTTAAATCAATATGTAGGTTTATACTTTTCAAATGCTCAAGAGTGTCAGATACTTTATTAATTGCACACTTATCCCTGGAGACGGGAAGTCCCAGATCTCTCTCCTGCTCCCATCGAGGTTGTTTCTCTCCAAGATCCCTGCACAGCTATCATCCTAGGACTTTTGTTTTCTGTTTTCTGGTATTAGAGCCCTCCTTTCTTGGGTTCCATGTTTTTCTTTCTTGTGGTTATTATTTTTGGTTTTTGTTTGTAGCATCTTCTGGGAGTTTCCTAAGAAAATATACACTAGAGGTGTACCTTTTGCATTTTGCAGGTACAAATGCAATTTTTCTGCCTTCACCCTTGATTGATAATTTGGCTAGCTAGATTGAAAATTATTACTCTCAGAATTTGAAGGCATTTCTCTTATTACCTTCTATCTTCTTGCTTCCAAATCATTCTGGATTCTGTTGCTTTATATATGATCTGTCTTTTCTCTGTGAAATATGTTCTCTGAAATTTTTAATATCCTGAAATTCTGAAATTTGACAATAAAATGCCTTGCTATGGATCTTTTTTTATAATCGTGTTGGGTATTAGATGTGGACTCTTTCTATCTTGAGAATTGTGTCCTTCAGTTTTGGAGAAGTCTTTGATTATTCCTTTGATAATTTCTTTTCCTCCCTTTTCTCTTTCTACTGTATGGATTTTATAATCTTCCTTCTCTTTTTTCCTGAGCAGTTTTATCAATTTTATCTCTAGGGCTTCCATTTATGCTCTATTTCTAATTTCTCCACATTCTTTTTTATCCTCTGATTGGTTCCTTGTTTCTAATATCTTATGGTAGTCTTATTTCATGGGTGCAATATCTTTTTTCATCTCCCCGACGATACTAATGATAATGTTCTGATGTTTACTTTGGTTCCTTTTATTGTCCCTGTTTTCTCAGAGATCCTCTTATTCTATTTCTATATGTGAGTACTTCTAATTTTCACGGCTTTGAATAAGGTTCTGTCCGGAAGCACTCTAATATTAGGGATGGAAAGTAGAGGAGGGTCACCCATCTGCTACTGTTCTGGGAGCAGGGGTGAGTTCTTCATAAGTATCCCACCCACAAGCACTCTCTTGCTTTGCTCAGCAGTTACCATCCCTTCCCTGCCTGCCACCTTCCAAAATTTTGTTGAAATTACTCCTCTCCCATTCTTTTGTTCTTGTGGCTTTATTCTTTTTTTCTTTTCTTTGCTCTGATTTTAATGGAACTTTAGGAGGAGGGGAAGGAGATAAATACAAGTGGCTGATCAGAAGTACTCCATGTTATCAGTAAATGTTGTGCTAATAATTTCCTGGGTTTTTTCCTACCTTTAGGCTCTTTCCCTTTAAGTCAGTCTCAACACTGCTGCCTCACTAATATTTCTAAAACATGGGTCTGCTAAGATTACATATTGCCAAACTTTTGATTACTTCCCATAGAGAAGATTTAGAATTCCTAGCCTGAACTATAGGGCCCCTTACAAACTGACCCTCCCAGTTTCATCTTCTACTGGTCTCTCTCACAGTGTAACCACTCTCTTGTGTCTTTTCTATCCCCTGTGCCTAAGAGTTCTATCCATTTTCTTGTAGATTGCTCCCATTTGTTCTTCAAGGTCCAAACCAAATGTTACTGCCTGTATAAAGCCTTTCAAGACTCCACACTTCACTGCAGGCAGAATTTATTAACCCTTCTGTATTCCTATAACACTAGGCTGCTACCTTTAACATAGCAGTTATACCCCCCGAGCAGAGCAGTTAATTTACATGCCTGCCTCATCAGCCAAATGGTCACTTTCTTGAGGTTAAGGACTATGTTTTCTTCTCCTTTATATTCTAAGTACCAAGCTTAGTGCTTAGACTCTGTAGACATTCAGGAAATGTTTATCAAATATGTAATTACCATTGTGATGATAGCTGACTCAGTTGTCCTCTTCCTTTTTCAGGCACACAAGCCATGCCCCCTCTCTTCTCCTTGGGGTACCATCAGTGCCGCTGGAACTATGAGGATGAGCAGGATGTAAAAGCAGTGGATGCAGGATTTGATGAACATGACATTCCTTATGATGTCATGTGGCTGGACATAGAGCATACCGAGGGCAAAAGGTACTTCACTTGGGACAAGAAAAGATTCCCAAATCCCAAAAGGATGCAAGAGCTGCTCAGAAGCAAAAAACGTAAGGTAAAATAAGCTGACACTTAGAAACCTTTTAATTATGAAGCATTTTTAAAAAAATTTTTCCCTCCCTCCCCTGCATTTTTTTAATTTTTAAAATTTGCCTTGGCACATTAGTGCAAGAGAGCCATCTGATTTTTTAAAAATGGTCATGACAGTATTATCTTCAAATATAATTGTAACTGTAATAATAGGAAAGCACCTGCTTTAGGTGTCTAAGTCCCCACAAGATAACAGGGCCTTGCATTCCCATTTGTCATAACCACCCTGTAGTGATAGGATAGATACCCCAAAATCAGTCTTGAGATTGAGGACATCACATTGACATCACAGGGTCTGAAAAGGTTAATTAGTCACATAGTGAGGCACTCTAGAAGGAGCAAGGCTGGCTCCCAGGATAGTCTGAAGATGGCTTGAGAGATCTGGGAATGGAGGCAGCTTAGCTTTTATGGTGATTAGAGGGTTGGACTGGGGTGAAGATTCCTGTGAATGCCCAGGTCTTACGTGGTTTGAGCTTCCTGCTGGCACCCAAAGAGGGAGCACTAGGGCTTTCATTGTCAGGTGTGGGCAGAAGGGTAAAGAGGGAATGGAGGGGCTAGACAGTCTTTAACAGTCAGTCAGAAATGGAATCAGGTTCACATCATTTTTCCTGCTTGTTTTCCTGATGGACTCCACCTGCCAATCTGGCCAAGGGAAGCACTAAAATAAAAAATGGAGAGGGGGAAAGATACTGGCAAGTATGTATGGTGGTAATAACATTAACGAGTGGAGGGAGGAAGAAGAAAAAAATGGAGAGAGGAAAAGGTGGGGGACCCTATATGTTTCATGGAGATGGATCCCTGCAGCCCTCTCCTTGAGATTAAAGTTACCTTTTCAATCCATTCCTTCAAACCCCAGGCCTTTCACAGGTGGCCAGAACCAATCCTGTTAACCCCTAATTTTCCAATTGATAAATTGACTACCATTTGACAAGTACTTACTATGGGCTAGAGAGTTTTATAGAACTCATTATTATATCTAGTCATCACAAAATTATAAGGTAGATATTGTTAACCCATTTTTCAGATGAAGAAACTGAGGCTAAGAATAGTTTTGTATTTTGTGCAAAGGCACATAGTAAGTAAGTAGTAGAGCAAGAATCTGAACTCTGATCTGCCTGACTCCAGAATCCATGTTCTTATAAGCAACTATTTATTGAAGCCATCAAAGGTTCAAAATCCTGTGCTAAAGATGAGCTCTTTGGGGTCTTACAAAGAGTGGGAAAAAGGCAAGTATACAACAAACACAATATTGGGCAATAATGTAACAGCCAAAGAAAGATCAGGATCAGCAGTGGACTAAGAGAAAGAAAATTGCATCCAGCTGGACCTAAGCTGGCCTTGTGCAATTTGGGTGAGCCTGAAAGATAAGTCACTAGCTGAGAAGTGGGGAAGGGGAGGAGGAAGAGGCTTCAGCCAGGCTGAAGCACCCAGTGGTGTTTAGAAAACAGCACAAGGGATCCCTGGGTGGCACAGTGGTTTGGCGCCTGCCTTTGGCCCAGGGCGCGATCCTGGAGACCCGGGATTGAATCCCACATCGGGCTTCCGGTGCATGGAGCCTGCTTCTCCCTCTGCCTGTGTCTCTGCCTCTCTCTCTCTGTGACTATCATAAATAAATAAAAATTTAGAAAACAGCACAAAGGTTGGTTTGGCAAGAAAACAAGACATGTGCAAGGTTTGAGTAATGGGGAATCTGACCTTATTATAGGCTGCTCTGTATACATTTGGAGACATTAAAAGTTTTTGAGTAAGGGGTTAATATGCAGAATATATGAAGAACACCTACAACTCAACAACCAAAAAACAGAAACCCAATTAAAAACTGAAAAAATGACTTGATAGACACTTCTTCAAAGAAGATATACAAATCGTCAGCAAACACATGGCAAGATGCTCAACATCACTAATTATCAGGGAAATGCAAATCAAAACCACAGTGAGATGCCATTTCATACTATTAGTATGGCTACTATAAAAAAAAAAAAGAAAATAGCTAGTGAAGAGGGAGAGAAATTGGAACACTAACAGTGGGACTGTAAAATGGTACAGCCACTGCAGAAAACAGTATGGCAGATCCTTAAAAAATTAAAAATGATCATATGACCCAGAAATCCCACTTATGGGAATATACTCAAGGATTTGAAAGCAGGTATTTGAGTAGATCTGCCCATGTTCATATCAGCACTATTCACAATAAGTAAAAGGTGAAAGCAATTCAGGTGTCTATCAGCAGATGACTGGGTAAACAAAATGTGATACATACACATATAGTGGAGTATTACTCAGCATTAAAAAGGAAGGAAATTCTGATATATGCTACAAAATGGATGAACCTTGAGGACATTGTGCTAAGTGAAATAAGAAAGTCACCAAAAAATGAATACTATATAATTTAACTAATCTGTCATACCTAGGGTAGTCAAAAATCATAGAAGCAGAAAAACAATGGTGTCTGCCCAGGACTGGGCAGAGGAGGGAATGAGAAGTTGTTTTTAATGGGTATAGAGTTTCAGTTTTACAGGATGGAAAGAGTTCTGGACATTGTACAATACTGTAAATGTACTTAACATTACTGAACTATACACTTAAAATTGGTTTAGATGGTAAATTTTATGTTATGTATATTTTACCATGATTAAAAGTTTTTTTAAAGTTTTTGAGCAATGGACAATTAAACTTTACTATATAGAGTAAATTTGAATAGATTTGAAGAATGATGGGAGGGTTGTTCTAACCAAAAGGATTGTGAAAGTGATGGCATTAGAAAGGTAGATACTAGAGACACAAAGCTGTGATCACAGATCTTCTCAAACCTCCTTCCTAAATATGCCTATACCATTGGGTTTGGGGTTTTTATTTTGTTTTGTTTTCTTTAATGTTTGTTTTTGTCAGTTTTAGCCTCTAGATGTCTAGGAGCGGGGATGACTTAATCCTTTATGTATAGCACCCAGCACCTCAGAAAGAAGCTTAATAACTGCTATTTTGAAAACATGTATTGGTTGGGCAACAATAATTATAAAAGAGCACTGGCCTGGTTTTGATACGAGTTCAATTTTCATAAGCATGAAAAGTGATAGGATTTTACCTATGTCTTAAAATATTTCAATACTAGTAGTTATTTCTGAGTAAAACTTAAACCCCAAAACTGTGATGAAAGCATAAAAATGTACATATAACTCCTTTGACACTGATGAGCTCTTCAAACCTCTATGTCTGGACAGCTTGTGGTCATCAGTGATCCCCACATCAAGATTGATCCTGACTACTCAGTGTATGCTAAGGCCAAAGAACAGGGCTTCTTTGTGAGGAATCATGAAGGAGGAGACTTTGAAGGGGTATGCTGGCCTGGTAAGATAGCACTTTATGCACTTATTAATTCCACTTGTGTAGCCCCAGTTAATGAAGGTTGCATGGCTACTGCTCTCATTTCTTACAGATCTCCCTTGCTCTAGTGTAAGCACCTTTAAGAAAGAGATGGTATTACCTTCTTTTTTTTTATCTTCCATAACACGTGGTACAGTGTGCTTTGTATCCATTTATCAGTCAATGAATGAATAAAAAATAAGCAAGCACTCTATTTCTCTAGGCAAATAAAAAGCCAAAGAATAAGAAAATGAGAGGAGAGTAACAGAAGAAGGATCCCTGCAGTCTCTCCCTTTGAATCTTCTGTGCCTGGTTAGCCCATAGTTTTGACTTTCCACACTTTCATGGGTGACCTCAGGTGCCTCCAGAAACTCTGGATTCTTCATTTCAGAAATGATTAGTTTAAAACCTTAATAGAAACCTGAGGACAAAAGGAAATCACCATTCTACCATATCCTGGCCCTCTATTACAAATCCATGTCCTGCAAAGAAACCCCACACATTCTTTTCCTCCCTTATGCCACTCATGAACACTTCTCTGTTCTCTTTAAGAACAGAAGGGTCCCTCCAGGATATTTGCTTTGCTTCCATGGGCTATCTTGGGCCATCTGAGAAGGACAGGCTCATCTGGATGCTTGTTCATTGACCTTCCCCTGGGCCTCTTGGGTTGGAAGGTCTGGTGATAATCACTGGAGTCCAGCATTGCCTTCCTTCACTTCTTGCCAGACCATGCGTTTGCATCAGCTGTCTTACAGCTATAGTGCCCAGTGATGAGCCAGCTTTTACATCTTTACAGCACATCCTACCGTGAGGACCACCATTTCTCACAGTCTGTTCTTCTGCCTCTACAGGTCTCTCCTCTTATCTGGATTTCACCAATCCCAAGGTCAGAGAGTGGTATTCAGGTCTTTTCACTTTCTCTGCTTACCAGGTTTGTTTTTATTCTTTTCCTCTTTCCTAATTAGTTGGAAGGATGAAAGAAAGAAAAACTTGATTGAATAGAACTACTCTGCTTCATTGAGTAGCTCTTGATAAATAATACTTGGATGAAAACGCAAGGATGGCAACCACATTCCAGACTTTAATGGTACCGGGAGAGATGCCATATGTATTACCAAATGCACAGAAGCTGTGATTTCCACCTCCATTACAATAGACTCTGTGACATAACAAAATACTTAATAGTAGAGATTTGTATTTTCAAATTACTACCTACACTTTACATAAAATAACATTCTATAGCTTATTTAGAGATGGTGGTAGTGAGGGTGCCTGGGAGGCTCAGTTGGTTAAGCGTCTGCCTTCGGCTCAGGTCATAATCTCAGAGTCCTGGGATCGAGCCCAAGGTTGAGTTCCCTGCATAGCGGGAAGCCTGCTTCTCCTCCCTCTACCCCTGCCCCTGCTCATGCTTCCTCTCACTATCTCCCTCTCTCTTAAATAAATAAAATCCTTTAAAAATTAAAAAAGATGGTAGTAATATATATGATAATATCTTGCAAAGTATAATGTGACATTAAAAGTAAGGTATAATAAAACTTTTTTTAAAAGATGTAATAATAAATCAATTCTTAAAATATTATAGTACCCCAGAGAGAACCAGAGAGGCCACTTGTAGAGAACTGTTTTCAACCAATTATGAGGATGATAGAGATGCCTGGTATAAATTGAGTTATTTGCTGTGTGCAAAAGCACTATGCTAAGTTCTTTGTGTGCATTTTACCATTTCATCTTCACAGAAACTCTCTGAAGTTAGAACTATAATTAATTCTAATCCCACAGATGAGGAAATTGATATATGGACAAGTTTGAAACCCTGCTCAGTTCACCCATTTTAGTAAGTGGTGGACCTAAGATTTGAACTCAGTCTGTCTCTCACGCCCAAGTCTTAAACCACTAAGCTCTAGTTTCTGAGCATCATATATTAGGATACAGAAAACAACTTAGAGCAGGGGTAATAACACTTGGGTGAAATCTGGCCATGTTCATTCATTTCCCTACTGTCAATGGCTGCTTTGGCACTGTATCAGAGTTGAGTTATTGAGAAAGAAGCCTATGGTCAGCAGAGTTGAAAATTTTATTTGGCCCTTTCTAGAAAAACTTGCCAATTCCTTACTTAAAGAGTGCTACAGAAGGACAGTCAAGGTAATTACATATTTGGAAACCAAATAGCCTTGTTCGTCAAAGTATACATGTTTAGGATACATGTTAAGTAAAGAGAAGAGTACATGTAAGTCACCCTGAGGCATTTGAACGGCTGGCTTGTGAGGCAGCACATTTATTCTGTGGTATCCCAGAAGGCAAGCCAGGCCCAGTGAGAGAATGTTACAAGGGGCAGGACTTTTGGAAAGTAGTGGAATGAGCTTCCTGAAGGACTCCATGTCATTGTAGTTACTGAGTCAAATGCTGAGAGATCAGAGATTCTATAATAGGGATTTCAACACCATGTTAACTAGACAACTCAGCAGCCCCTTTCCACTCTAAATTGAACAATTCTGTGTAGAACACAAACTTTTGACCATGCTAAGAGGTATCTTAGCTGTCAAGTCTTTCAAAGTGTTAGAGGGAAGGCAGAACCTTATTATGGAAAGCTTTAATTGCCCTTATTTAAGAGTTGTAGCAGATGATGGATATTATAGAATCTGTCAACATTCACAACCTTTCCTGTATGTGAGTTCTCCAGGGTAGGTCTCGGAGTGGACTTGGTGGGCAGTGTGTATTTTGCAGACAATATTACAAAGCATTCTTTCATTCATTGACAAATATTTATTGGGAATCTCTGTGATTGAGCTACTGTTCTAGGTGTTTGGGATATATCAGTGAACAAAATGAACAAAATTCCCTGCCCTGTGGACCTTTTATTTATTGTAGCTCTGGAACAGAAGACAGAGCATAGATCATAAACACTATAAATAATAAATTAAATGGAGCATGAAAGAGGAATAGGGTGGCTATCACATTAACATCATCACTATAGGAGTATTATCGAAATACTCCTATAGTGATTCTCCTATAGTAAACAAGAAATTTACTTCCTAGGGATCTACTGACATCCTCTACATATGGAATGACATGAATGAGCCTTCTGTCTTTAGAGGGCCAGAGCTAACCATGCAGAAGAATGCTGTTCATCATGGCAATTGGGAGCACAGGGAACTTCACAACATCTATGGTTTTTATCAGGTAAGATATCCATAAAGAAGCCACTTGACCCATGTGCCCTACCTTTTGGGTTGAAAGTCATTTGTAATAGCCATTCTATATTGTTCATTTCTCTTAGTGTGACTTTCCTGACAACTGCAATGGATCTTTTCAGGTTGTAGCCAATATGGGACTTATTATTTCTTCTTTTGCACCTTTTCTTTCTCTAATGAACTTGGTGAATTACAGATATTGTGAGATTAATGATAATATAGAAGCATCTTCCTTGACAGGCATCATTAATAAATGGCATTGGATACCTCAAAACTTTTTTTGGAGTAGGTAATGTATAAATACATAAATGAAGGCAGTTAAAACAAATTTTTTGAAATTTAACAAATGTCTAAATATAGCAAGTCTTACATTCATACCATGGGAATAAGATTTAGAACACAGATACGGAATTTCAATAAATTTTTAAATGTAGAAAGCCTTAACTACTTAGCCTTCTCATTAGAAGGTAGTAGAATTGTCTTCCATTTGTCAGTCACATCCCAAACACTTGTCAGACATCCGCCCTAATTGATATCCATGGTTCTTTGTTATTTTCATCCTGTAACTATGTTCCTACGGCCCTCCCACCAATTGGCATACTTTCCAGGGGGAGCTGCTGGCTACATATAGCACGGTTCAGATAGTATGTGGTTCCTTCTTTAAAAGCCTCTTGCTATAACTGCAAACTACTTTAAAGAATTTTCTATGTTGGCCAGTGACAGTTGACAGACCTCTCTGGATCTCAGTTTTTTTCATCAATGAAAACAATCCATCTCAGAGCTTGTCCTATGATTATAAGAGAAAATTTTTTTTTTTTTTTTAGATTTTATTTATTCATAAGAGACACACAGAGAGAGGCAGAGACATAGGCAGAGGGAGAAGCAGGCTCCATGCAGGGAGCCCAATGTGGTACTCAATCCTGGGACTCGATCCCGGGACTCTGGGATCAGGCCCTGAGGCAAAGGCAGACACTGAACCACTGGGCCCCCCAGGCCATAAGAGAACATCTTATAAAATGCCTAGCAATAGTAAGCATTGAATATGTTAGCTTATTATTTACTATTTTCATTTCTATTTTAATCAAAGTTTTCCACTCTTATTAGGGGAATTTCATTACATCATGAAAATTATTTGGTGGATTTGGTGGATTCATTTTTCTATTTTCCATTTTACATTCCCACCACCATTTACTATTTACTTCTTACATGTCCAGTAGCTTATTAGGGACATCTGCACAATGCCCTAATCTAACCATCCCTTTGAAAATTTTCTCCTTTGCATTTTAGCACATGGCTACTGCAGAAGGACTAATACAACGATCTGAGGGGAAGGAGAGACCCTTTGTTCTTACTCGTTCTTTCTTTGCTGGATCACAAAAGTATGGTGAGGAATGGCTCATATGATCAGACTTAAAAACACAAGTTGGCAACCTGCCTTTTTTTTTTTTTTAACCATTTATGGTATATGTTGCTACTATGTTGATGCCTTCCTCTTCAGTGGCAGATGGGCAGGCCTTGGATTGTAGCAAGTGACATGCCCTGAAATATCCCTTTTGTCCTGTGAGACAGAGTACATCAATTTTAATAAAGTTTAGTTACTTATTTCCTCTTTGAAGAAATGGCCACTTAAGTTGCTGGGAAAATGTCTTCAGAGTATCTCAGTCTGCTGGGATGGTCATCTCTAATTCTGTTTGTTTGATTTATCTAAACCAGGGAAAATATACTTCTTAGACATTCCTTCAACCACCTGTTGAACCACTTAGCAATATGGCTTAAAATAGACCTGGCTGTTGCTTGTGGCCAGGGGTCATCTATAACTGGATTCAGTTTACTAGCTAATTCACCTTAACCACCTTCCACTGGGAAGGCTATTTTAAGTCTCCTGGCCTTGCACAAATAACTAGGAGCTTAGGTTCTAGTTTGAAGAATGCAGCCTTTACTGTATCATAGACATTATTAGGCTTCTCCAGCCCTGAAAACCAGCCTCTGTGGCATTCTACAAAAGGCCAAAATACTGTTATATCAGGCAAAGATTCATTTACAGAGATGCTCACCATAGCATTAATTCCTGAAATAAAAAAAAGAAATAAAATCCAAATAAAGGAATATTTATAAAAGGATGGTATATCCATATGACATTATAAGACTATTTAACCTAGTAACCTCAAAAAAAAATAAAAATAAAATAGTAACCTCAGTGATTACAAGTTGATGATGAAATCTATTTATAAGCTCTGCCCATGGTAAAATACCATTAGGACTCTCTATTGTATTATTTGGGAATAAAAAGGTTATGTGTCCCTGTAAACACATTAGATGAGACGTACATACAGAAGAGGCAAAGAGCAAAAGTCCTAAACAAAGTGATTTCCAGCAGAGATTTTGCATGTGTTATTTTTAATTTTTTCCTCAATACATATATGTAATTATTTTACTAGTAAAAAAATTGTAATAAAAAGATAAAATAGTTGTAATTACATGAGCAAATGTTTGTGACATCATAATAAATGGGAAAAAAGCAGAATGTATACATGTTTTTGTAGTATATTATCACAATTGTGTTTTAAACAATATAGAAAGGGATGTTTGGGTGGCTCAGTGGTTGAGCATCTGCTTTCAGCTCAGGACGTGATCCGGTGTCCTGTGATCAAATCCCATATCAGGTTCACTCCAGGGAGTGTGCTTTTCCCTCTGCCTATGTCTCTGTCTCTCTCTCTCTCTGTCGCTCATGAATAAATAAATAAAATCTTTTTTAAAAAAATAAAAAATATAGATAGCAATCTAAATCAGTAAGTTTAGTACCTTCGTGATCAGTGATTTTTAAGTTTTCTATTTACCTAACTCTTTTCCATATTCTCTACAAGTGTCATTTTTAGTCACTAAAAAACTCAAGTATTTTTAATGAAAACTTTTAAGTAGCAGCTAAAAGAATGATAAAAGATATGCATACTAAGTAATCTGATCCCTTAAATATCAGCCTACTGCCTAGCCTTCAGTACTCTCTGTGAAACTACCAGCCTGCCCCAAAGTGTACTAAGTGAGGCATTGCAGAGAACACTACTATGTGAAGTCGTATGCTTAGACCCATAAGCAGAGACCGCTTGTGACTGAACAACCATATGGGACATCAACATATCGGCATGCTTTTACATGAACTTTCTTTCTTTCTTTTTTTTAAAGATTTATTTATTTATTTATCATAGACAGAGAGAGAGAGAGGTAGAGACACAGGAGGAGGGAGAAGCAGGCTCCATGCCAGGAGCCCGACGTGGGACTCGATCATGGGACTCCAGGATCGCGCCCTGGGCCAAAGGCAGGCACTAAACCACTGAGCCACCCAGGGATCCCCATGAACTTTCTTTCTTGATGAGAATGCCACCATGTCAATTTCAAAAAACATTTTATCTCATTTGAAGTCAAGGAGAAATTATTAGAATACCTTTAAAAAAAACAAAACAAAACAAAACAAAACAGGGATCCCTGGGTGGCGCAGCGGTTCAGCGCCTGCCTTTGGCCCAGGGCGCGATCCTGGAGACTGGGGATCGAATCCCACATTGGGCTCCCGGTGCATGGAGCCTGCTTCTCCCTCTGCCTGTGTCTCTGCCTCTCTCTCTCTCTCTCTGTGACTATCATAAATAAATAAATTTAAAAAAAAAAACAGTCCCTTGAAAAGATTTATCTTTGCTGGCCACATAACAGCCTAAAATTTCTATGGAAGATTAAAACAAAAATAGCTACCAAAGCTATTTTGGTAGAAGACAGACAAAATGCTTCAGAACTAATCTAGATTTTGTAAAATAAGATTTTTTTCTTTTGTGGATCTCCTTAGTGGTTTATAATCTGTCCTCATAAACTCTTCCCACGTATACAATGGTCAAGAGCAGTGGCTTTCAAGTCAGACTGCCTGAGTTCAATCCTGCCTCTACCATATAGTAACTGTGTTACTTGGGGTTAAATAATGTTTACCTGTTAGGATTGTGATGATTAAGTAGGCTATTACAAGCAAAGTAGAATCACCCAGCTCAGTAAGGGCTTGATAAATGTTAACTTTTGTTCTTGCTACTGTTATGTCTCCTTTATAAAGTTTGTACCACTCCTCAATTATAGAGGGTTGTTGTTGTTGTTGTTGTTGTTGTTGTTTGGAAAAGGGATGGAGAAATAGGCATATAAATCAATGGAACAAAATAAAGATTCCAGAAAGAGTCCAACACACATATGATCAATTAATAAGGAACAGAGTTGCCAAGTCAATTCAGTGGAGAAAGGATTTTTTTCAATAAATGGTGTCAGAACACTGAGTTTGGATGACAGAGGGGCAGCGTAGGAAAAGAACCTTGACTCTTACCTCTCACCACACACAAAAAGTAATTCAAAATGAAACATAAACCTACATTATAAAAGCTAAAACAAACAGAAAACTTCTAAAAGGGAACATAAAAAAATATTTGTGACTCAAATAGACAAGATTTCTTGGGTAGAAAACAAAAAGAATGAACCATAAAAGGGGGGAAAAATGCTGACTTGGAGTTCATCAAAATTAAAAAACCTCAAAAAAAATTAAAAACCTCTACCGTTTCAAAGATATTAAAAAAGTGAAAGTCAAGCCACAGACTTGAGAGAAAAATATCTGCAATATACATATATATCTGTCAAAGAACTTAATCCAAAATATATAACTTTTACAGTTATATAATAAAAAGACAAATACTTTTAAAAATAAGCAAAATATTTGAATATATACTTTACAAAAGACATATGAATAATCAATAAATATGTGAAAAGATGCTCACCATTAGTCTGTAGAGAAATACAAATTAAAACCCAGAGAGACACCACTGCACATACATTACAGTAGCTAGAATTAAAATGACTGACACTACCAAGTGTTGTCAAGAATGTACAGCAACTGAAATTGTCATGTATTGATAATGTAAAAGCAGTACAACCACTATGCCAGACAGTTTGGAATTTTAAAATGTTCAACATACACTGAACACAGATCTAGCAATTCCACACCCAAGAGAAATGAAAAACATATGTCATGCAAAGATTTATACACAAATATTTATAGCAGCTTCATTCATAATAGCCCAAATTTAGAAAGAATTCAAATGTCCATCAATAGGTGAATGGATATACTATTCATCAAATAAAAAGGAATAAACTACAACATTATGCTGAGCAAAAAAAGAAGCTAAAACACAAAATAGTATGTATCCATTTATATGAAATTTTAGAAAAGACATATAGAATGACAACAAAGAAGCCCACGTAGTCTTTTACAATTATGGAAATCGTTCTGCACCCTGCTTGTGGTGCCAGTTACAGCTTTCAAAACTCATCAAACTCTTCACTTAAAATAGGTACATTTATTGTATGTAAGTTATATTTCAGTAAAGTTGATTTTTTTAATGTTTCCTAAAATCAGGCTGGAGTTATACTTCAAAAATAAGTGCCATTTCAGGATATTTTCACAAAATGTTTTGTGGATTTTAAGAACTTCTTCACATTAGATTAATATATTTTCATTGTAGAAACCAGAATTTATATATTTTAAGGTCAGAAAGAAATGCTTTCCTTAATATTAATTTGTCTATTTCAAATAGGCAATCTATGAAATTGAGTGCATGGGCTGATTTGTGATTTTTTTTCTATACCTTGTTACTGGTGATCCAAGGTGCTGTGTGGACGGGCGACAACACAGCAGAATGGAGCTACCTGAAAATTTCTATCCCTATGTTACTCACCCTCAGCATTACTGGGATCACTTTTTGTGGAGGTAAGATGATATCCTCAGGCTTGAAGTGAGAGAAAAATAAAAAGCAAGGGTGTTTCTCTGTCAAGGCTGGTCACAAATGTGACCTCATGAGCGGTTTGGGGCAGGGATAACTGGGAATAAGAAAATGAGGAAAGTGACGGGACACTTCCAAGCAGTTTGTATCTTGTCTGAAATGAGGACATGAAATAAAGTTATCAGAGAGCCCAAGTGCTTCTTTCCCTCTTTCTCTGATTCCTCCTTAGATGGTCTTGAGAATTGAGTCTCTCTTCCTGAAACATACCTTTTCTTCTTCAAAGTGAGAAAAATGGAGAGTACAAAGAATTGAGCAAATAAAAAGTCAGCCTCACAGAAATGCTTTTTACTCAGCAGATTTAAGATTCTATGACATATTTTAACTTAAAAAAAAAAAGATACACTCTCAGGAAAGATAAATTTAGTTATAATAGGATTCCCTGATGGGCTGCCTTCCCAAAATCCTAGTAATTCTCTGCAGATGAGAAATCTCAGTATGGAGGGTGCACAGCATGACTAGTTCCAGCTGTTCCTTGTTTTCTGTAGGAATAGAAGTTAATGTCACTCTTTAATAGATGTGTTTCTTACGGCATTGATCCCCATACCAAGAATATGTCTCCTGCTTAAGGACTAAGCACACAATTATACCTAAATCTCTAATTCTGATCGTCTGTTTTTCTTTAGTTCTACAATTTTTATCTTGCTTGAGCTGTTGCTTTCAAAGGAAATCAATTGTCAGCTGCCCTCACCCCACCACTAAACACAGAGTTATTGAGTCAGGTCAACATTTTGCAATTTCTGGGTTTGGAAACATACAGAAATGTTGATCTTGTAGTAAAACCTCTGACTTTGGCTTTGGATAAGAAAAGAGGACTCAAAGAGAATATTGTCAGATCCTCAAACAGGCTGAGTTTTTAAATGTGTGCTCCCTAATTTCAGTCCACAGTTTCATCCTGGCATTTTGAGTGCACATACAGCAAGTATATTTGTCCTGTCAGTCTACAAGCCCTTATTTTACCTGTGTGCAACATTTGTTAGAAGCCTGGTTGCCTCATTAGGCCTCTCTCTGACTGACTAATCAGCTGATGTAGGCGGCTTCATTGGGAATCCAGAGGCTGAGCTGCTAGTGCGATGGTACCAGGCTGGAGCCTACCAGCCCTTCTTCCGTGGCCATGCTACCATGAAGACCAAGCGGCGAGAACCCTGGCTCTTTGGGGAGGAGTACACTCAGCTCATCCGGGAAGCCATCAGGCAGCGCTATGCCCTCCTGCCCTATTGGTATTTTCTCTTCTACTGCGCACATGTGGCTGCTGAACCAGTCATGAGGTAAATAGGCTTCATGGGTTGGGGGCCCCAGCAGCTAACCTATACCAGAAAACCCCCTAGCCCTTGGGGAACGAAGTAATTACACAGTAATTACACAGTGATTTCAAGAGAAAAGCCACATGTTTAATCAAGTGTCCTCACAACTGTGAGCAGGGTCAAGAAGTTGAGGTCACAGAAAAGCCAGATTCCCTGCTACTTTGTGATTCAAGTGTTAATATTTGATAAGAGACAGAAATAGAGATTTTTCAAAGAAAAAAGTGACTATTACTGAATTCACTATTTAACTTCACAATCATCCTCTCATGAAGAACAATTTATTCTGCCTGTCTTAGACTCTATCTTACCTTTAGGGCTAAACATTCCAAGTTTGAGATGAACTTTTTTCCCAGGATATAAATTATATTCTGATTTTGTTTTGGAGGCAGGATGTGAAAAACCAACTTTTTAAGTTAGAGAATGATAGACACATATACATCAAGGCTTCCAGATCAGCAGTTCCTAAGCCTGGCTCAACTAGAATCACCTGAGGAAGCTTCTTAAAATGATAGATTCCAAGGTCACATCTCCAGACCTACTAGGCATCTCCTTGGGTAGGTCTCAGGATCTAGATTTGTTAGAAGTTTCCCTGATGATTCTAGACATCAGCCATATTGAAAGACTACTGCTTTGTTACTCTTCAGTAGGAAAAGGATATATATTATTACAAAGGCTAGTGAATAAAAATAAGTTTCTCTTACTAAATATCCTTTACTCATAAGGTTGAAAAAAATATTAGAACCATTAAATTGAAATCCAGATGCACAGATATTGACGATTTTATTATCTTTATGAGCCCAAATGCCTCCTGGATAGTTGTGTAAAACAGTATAATAAACATACAAAAACCACAAAATAGTTTCTCAATACTTCAAAAATGTTTCCTGCTTGAAAACAAGTAAAACCAGTTCTTTTCATTTAAATAGATAATGATTAAGGATGCATGAAAGGCAGTGACAGCATGAAAACTGTGGCACAAATTTCACATCATTATAAAATACGGTTTTACAAACATTAAATTGGTCCATATTGAGTATGTTCGGCATTTGGACTTGCATACATAGCTCTCTGATTCTGCCTTCAGAATAGTATTTAGTACTCAACAATCAGAAGGAAAAACTGTAGGTCTTAGAATTCTCAATCTTTCATTGGAACATTTCAGCGAGTAGATAGATCCCTCACATTAGAAAAATATATAGTAATCCTAGCAATTGCTCATAAAATTTCAAATCATTAAAAAAGAGTCTTGGCTCTTTGGCTTTTCCAATTTGAGTAGTTATAAAACTGAAAATATAACTGATTTAATAGTAATAAAACATCTAATGATGTTGAAGTAAGAATTTTTTTTTCTTTCCCCAGGCCTCTGTGGATAGAGTTCCCAGAGGAATTAGACACTTTTGGTGTAGAAGATGAATACATGCTGGGTGAGCATTTCTTGCTTAATTTTCATTATGATAAATACTCTATGTTTCTGTTTTATTTCCTGTTTCAGAGCACTAAAAAAAAACTATCAAAACAAAAAAAAATAAATTCTGGCATTAAGATTTTTAGTATATTAGTGGAATGATAGCGCTATTCTGTGGTCATGTAGCACTTCTCATATTATTAACTTCCTATAAACCCATTCTATTTGTGAATGCAATTCGAGATTCCTGTTCTGGATCCACTCCTGAGTCTTATGATACCACTATAGGGAATGGAAGTACAAGACAGTGAACCAGATGGTTACAGCAGTAAAAACTCGAGCGTTTACTTCATATGCAAAATAGGGTTGTTGGTTGTGTTTTTGTTGGCCTCTTCTTTAATAAAGGTTAACCAGATTATGGAAGTTTATCATTTTAGGACTAGGACTCATGAAACGAGGCTTAACAGAGAGTAGCCCAAAAGGTGCATCCTGTTTCTAACAAGCAGAAATCCTAAAATATAAAAAACCTAATGCCTAGTGCTACATCTCCACTTATTCTTGGGTCTCAGTTTAAATAGCTACTTCCTTCTTCTTATTACATAACTTTCTTTTTTTTTTAATTTTTATTTATTTATGACAGTCACACACAGAGAGAGAGGCAGGCTCCATGCACCGGGAGCCCGACGTGGGATTCGATCCCGGGTCTCCAGGATCGCGCCCTGGGCCAAAGGCAGGCGCCAAACCGCTGCGCCACCCAGGGATCCCTTATTACATAACTTTCATTCCATTTTGTGCCTTTCCTTTTTGGTATTTGTCCTAATTTGTAATTACTTGTTTAATATCCATTTTTACTGACTGCAAACTCCACGAGGATGGGAGCATTGTTTTATATGCCTCTCCAGAGCCTAGCGTAATACCTGGCACTCATCAGGAACTCAGTAAATATTTGTACAATTAAAGAGTGAATGCATAAATGGATGAAATTTACGCATAATGACAGAGTCAAAACAAAATGAATGATCTAGATTACCTTTAAGAGAATTACAGCCTTCTTGGGGATCCCTGGGTGGCTCAGCAGTTTAGCGCCTGTCTTTGGCCCAGGGTGTGATCCTGGAGTCCCGGGATCGAGTCCTACGTTGGGCTCCCGGCATGGAGCCTGCTTCTCCCTCTGCCTGTGTCTCTGCCTCTCTTTCTCTCTCTATGTCTATCATAAATAAATAAATAAATCTTTAAAAAAGAGAGAGAGAGAATTACAGCCTTCCTAGTGATAACTGCCCATGGATATACTCCTATCCATTCTGACCACAGTTCTGGATAACAGCTATAGGCTTACCATTTTCAAAGTCACAGCAAACAATGATGCACCTGGAGAAATGTGATGGCTCTTTCAGACTCTTGGCATACTAGCAGCTATGAGCAAATGAGACTGTAATAGACTGTGTCAGGGTCCCTCCCTATTGTCCTAATATGCCATAAGGAATTTAATAATAAGTAATAATATAGTCACCGTTTTGAGCACCAGTCCTCTTTCTAACAATGTATCGCTATGATGATGAATCATTGGTTCAGCTCACCAAGGTCTCTACTTTCACCAAGATCATAGTTGAGTGGTCTCTAAAACCACAAAAGCGCTCAAAGGAGAAGGATGTTGTCAGACCTCTTAGAATGATTTTCGACTTTATTTCTTCTGTTTTTCAGGAAGCGCTTTATTGGTTCATCCAGTCACAGAACCAAAAGCCACCACGGTTGATGTGTTCCTGCCAGGATCAAATGAGGTAAACATAAATGATGAACAGCCATGTATCTTACGTGTTTCATATCTTCCTCTTTCATTCTGATGAATTAGCCTGTTAGGAAATAGATTGCCTTATGTAGTTGTGAAGACAGCCTAAGTGACTATAGTAACTGAAGATTCTTGTAAGTCATGACCTTGGAGGTCAAGAAACGTAATGGAACTAACAGTGAGGAGAAAGATGAATAGATGATAGCACCAAGGAGGGTCAGAGTAGTTCTTTACCTTCATACTTGGACTTGTGTAAGTGATTCCTAGTAAACACACTAAAGCTTTGAGTAGGAAGAAATCTTTAGTCTACTAAGAGGTATCAGTCTCTGGAAGGAAGCATAAGTAAGAAGAGACTTTGCTCTTTGGTTCTGGCTCTAACTAAATCTTAAATTTTTGGTACCAAAAACTGGTCTCCAGACACTTGCCAAAGTGGGTAAAAAGTAACAGTGGTGACTTTCCTTTATGCTCCTCTAGCCTCCCAACTTGTTTATTGGTTGTCGTCATTGATTTTATTACTGTATAAAATATCATCCTGCACTGCTGGAGCCCAAGGCACTGAACGCAGGCAGGGCACAGGGAAGAGGTATGATTAGTCCACGGGCTGCAGAGCAGAGAGCCATGAGTATGGCAACAGCCTCCAGAGACAGACCAAGGATATATTATTGCAAAGGGGACAGGAGAAGAGGCAGAGCAGAAATTTGGGGCACCAGACCAGGGAAAGAGGGTATGGTATGGAGATCAAGGAAGAAACAAACCCTGGAGAGAGTCCTTGAGCATGGGAGCATTACCACAGGCTTCTGCAGGAAGAGGGATGAGGGGTGACAGTTACCAAACTGATATGAGACCTCCATATCAAGATATTCCTGGACTGACTCTGGGAAACAGTATGGAGTTTCCTCAAAAAGTTAAAAATAGAACTATCCTATGACCCAGCAATGGCACTAGTAGGTATTTACCCAAGAGATACAAACACAGTGATTTGAAGGGACACATGCACCCCAATGTTTATAGCAGCAACATCCAGAATAGCCAAACTAGGGGAAAAGTCCAAATGTCCAACAACTAATGCATGGATAAAGACATGGTATATATACATATAGGAATATTACTCGACCATCAAAAAGAATGAAATCTTGCCATTTGCAACAACGTGAATGGAGCCAAGGTGTATTACACTAAGTGAAATAAGTCAGTCAGAGAAAGACTATTACCAAATGATTTCCATCACAGGTGCAATTAATTTAAGAGCTAAAACAGGTGAACATATGGGATAGGAAAAAAAAAAAAAGTGAGGGAAACAAACCATAAAAGACTCTTAACTATAGAGAACAAACTGAGGGTCAGTGGAGGGAGGTGGAGGGGATGATGGGCTAAATGGGTGATGGGCAGGGGACCTTTGTATATTCATATAGCACCAGAGGATTTACCCTATACATATTACCTCTTATTCTAATTAGTTCTGGAAATGGTAAACAGGTAATCCCAAAACGTTATTTACGTCCATTTTTTTTTCTTTTACCTTTCACTCCCACTCCCCTTTGTCTAAAGCTACTGGAATTTGTCAAAGAAAGACATTATAAGAGGGGCACCTGGGTAGCTCAGTAATTGAGCATCTGTCTTCGGCTCAGGTCATGATCCTGGGGTCCTGGGATCGAGTCCCACATAGGACTCCCCACAGGGTGCCTGCTTCTCCCTCTACCTGTGTCTCTGCCTCTCTCTGTGAGTCTCTCGTGAATAAATAAATCTTAAAAAAAAATCCCTCATAAACACAGGCACAGAAATCCTTGACAAAACATTAGCAAATTGGATCCAGCTGAGGATAATACATGGAGACAAGGTAGGGTCGATCATGTTGAATCAAGGGTTCACCGGAGCAGACCATGGTCAGGTCACAGCTCTCTCACATTCACCACCGGACAGGACAGCTCTAGAAAGGATGTGGTAATCCCAGGACGTGACCTTGCAAAATAGACTCTGTGGCTGCCAGAAATTATACAGAGCTAAAAGAGAGAAAAAGAGGTTTTTGTTTCCATACTGCTGCTGCTGGTGTCTTAAGGAGTTATCCTATCAAATTCCTTTGGAGGATCTTCTTGGTACTTCAGGGACAAAATCCCCCTCAATGAGGATCCCAGATAAGAATTTAAACTTCAGGGCAGCCCGGGTGGCTCAGTGGTTTAGTGCAGCCTTCGGCCCAGGGCCTGATCCTGGAGACCTGGGATCGAGTCCCATGTCAGGCGTCAGGCTTCCTGCATGAAGCCTGCCTCTCCCTCTGCCTGTGTCTCTGCCTCTCTCTCTCTCTCTCTCTCTCTGTGTGTGTGTGTGTGTGTGTGTGTCTCATGAATAAAAATAAATAAAATCTTAAAAAAAAAAAAAGAATTTTAACTTCACTGGGATGCCTGAGTGGCTCAGCGGTTGGGCATCTGCCTTCAGCTCAGTGCATGATCCTAGAGTCCTGGGATTGAGTCCCGCATCAGGCTCCTGCGGGGAGCCTGCTTCTCCCTCTGCCTCTCTCTCTCCGTGTCTCTCATGAATAAATAAATGAATCTTTAAAAAAAAAAAAAAGGATTTTGAACTTCATGCCTGAATTGCACTCTGCTAAAAGATGACACTATAGTAGCAATCCAAGTTACCATTTGTCTTTCTCCAAGATCTGTTTCCTTCTTAGACACTTTCCTTTTCTCCCACCTCATTTATAATTTAGTTGCTCACAATGTGCTTTTCTTTTTTGTTGTTGCTTTGTCTTTCTTCCATCATCTTTTTTACTCTTAACACATTAACCTTCTAAGACAACCAGGCTGTAAAATCCATGAGGGCAGGTACTCTGTCTTTCTGTCCACTCGTGTGCCTAGCAGTGCTGGGCATGTGGTAGGCAGATGGACGAATGGACAAATGAATGGCCTTTTAGTGAACTTAATCCATCACAGTACCAGGGTAGTCCTTTGGGATCTTCTTAAAAGCATATGTTCTTGCTAACTTCCACTCAAGAATTTTTTTTAATTATACTTATTTTAGCTTCCTGGTTATTTGAAATCCAGATAAATGTTTTACTGAATAATGAAATTGTGAGCAGAGTTGTTCCTATACTCGTTTTCATTAGGGTCTGTTCCTTTTCAGGTCTGGTATGACTCTAAAACATTTGCTCATTGGGAAGGAGCATGTACTGTGAAGATCCCGGTAGCCTTAGACACTGTAAGTTATTTTCAAGCTGTTATTTTTACCTGTTGTGCTGTATCAGTCTGCATAGGCTGCCATCATAAAATACCCCAGACTGGGTGGCTTACCCAACAGAAGTTTATTTCTCACGGTTCTGAGGCTAGATGTTCCAGATTAAGGTGCCAACAATTCAGTTCCTCGTGAGGACTCTCTTCCTGGCATGTAGACAGCCACTTTCTTGCTGTGTCCTCACACAGCAGAAGAAGAGAGTGAGCTCTCTTAGGTCTCCACTTGTAGACACTAATCCTATCAGATCAGGGCCCCACTTTCTGACTACACTTAACCTTAATTACCTCTTTACAGGCTCTATCTCCAAATACAATACAGTCACATTGGTGGTTGGGACTTCAACACATGACTTGGAGGGGGACACAAACATTCAGTCTAACACATGTGCCTACATAGAAAGAACCAATCACATTAGTGTTCTGCATAACAACACATAGGGAGAAAGACAAAAAGTAGATGAAGGGCTGCATGGGGCTGGGGCAGGGAGAGGGCTTGAGAGCAATGGTGAATTACTGCTAATGAGTACGAGGATTCTTTTCGGGATGATGAAGTGTTTTAAATTGATTGTGGTGACAGGTGCATGACTCTCAATATACTAAGACATTTCATTGTACACCTTAAGTGGGTGAATTGTATGGTATATGAATTGTACAACGAAGCATGTAAAAGTGTGAGAAAAAAGTATCAACGTTTAGCCTTATTTCACAGTAGGAGACATACTGTGAAAGGATGACTTTTCCCCAGATATTTACATTTGTGTGTCTAAGAAAAATAGAAACGCTGAAAACAGAGTAAAGATGGTGGTCAGCACACACACCATACAGAATGTCCTTCTATAGGGCCAAGTCACAAAACATGATTTCCATTGTAACCCTGGCCCTCTACGCCCAGGGGAAGGCTGTCAGTTCTGATGTTAGAGTTAAGGGGGCCTATCCAGACTGAACTCGTGAAGGGACGTTTGCTCTTGCAGCCAGATCACAACCGCTACAGGCCCGAAGTGGTGCTAAAATTAATAAAGATACGTTGATGTTATTTTTTAAAGCTGTTATCAGTAATATTAACTCTTAATAATAAAATTATGTCAGATGTCAACTTTCAGATCTAAAAGAGACCTGAACATTCATCTACTCCAACTCCTCATGCTTACAGGTGAAGAAACTGAGTTCAGGGAAATTCAGCTACTTGTCCAGGGCTGTGGCTAGATTGTGGCAGAGCTAAGACCCCAGATCAGCTGGGTAGCATCCCACTTCTGAGCCCATTCTGTACTAATTTGCTACCTCTGTCACTGGGAAAAAAGAAAAGAAGAAGCGATTGGTTGATGAGGGGGAGATAAATGTGCTTTATTCTTGCTGTCAGGCAGAGGGTGGACGTCTTAACTACTCTGCCTTCACTCCCAACTTCATTTATATTCTTGTACTTTTCTCCCTCTTGTACTTTACCTAGAGCGAAGTACAAGCCCTCATGTGATCCAAAGAGTTTCCTTACAGGGGATTGTACGGGGAGGCAGGAAATTTACTGAGCTTTCTTTGCTGGGAATGCCATTCCAGAAGAACCATAGATATGGGCCATGCCTGTAACACTGTGGTGAAAGTCACTTTAAGTGTGTTTGGTGGCTTCTATAATAGAAGTTTCACAGATTTACTCTCAAAATTTTTCCATCATCCTGGTGATCCAGGGAAGCAGGGAGCAGGAAGGGCATAGACCATATAGTAAGGACAGTCATCTTCCCAAAACCAAAAAAATGTAATATTTCATATGCACATGTACATACATGTGAGCCTACTTATATAGGCACAAAAACTCGCTCCTTAGCAGGGCACTAGAAATAAACACATGTATTACGTTGACAAGAAAATTAAAAATACAAAATAGGAACTGCAAATAGGATAGGCAAAATAGATAATAAATTGATGAAAGGTGAGAAGTTTCCCTAATAATTTAAAAATGGACCATTTTTAGTGTTCGAACTCTTTTCCTTTTAATGCCATGACATCCATATTTTCCATCTCTGCTCACAAATTTATTTCACCTTTGAGTCTATACTTCTAAAGCATGTGAGTCTTGTACGACAAAATATTTTTAGATTCTACATTGAAATTGCCTTATACGAATACTCCTTTCCTGAGAGTATTGTTTTGTTGTAGATACCGGTATTTCAGCGAGGTGGAAGTATAGTACCAATAAAGACAACTATAGGAAAATCCACAGGCTACATGTCTGATTCCCCATATGGACTCCGGGTGGCCCTAAGCACTAAGGTATTTGGAAAATGTTACCTTTACACATCTCATTCGTTACTACTTTTTTTTTTCGATTCGTTACTACTTTATCTCTTTACAGGAATAGTGGCCTTTTGAGTATGTGACACTATGTAAAAATGATAAACCCCGATTATGGGATGAGTGCCTCTGATGTTTTTCTAGAAATCAAAGTTTTAAATCATTCCTGAGTCATTGTCCCACTTGTCTGACTTTCTTGGAATTGTTCTTAAGAGAATTCTGAGAACTAGAAATGACAGAAGTTGCCACTGGGGCACCGTGACCCTTGGTGCTCTGAAGTTTGGCATTACCACTGAACTGCATGCCCATTGGGCCTAGTCAGCCTACCACATAGATTAGCCCTAAAACTCAGTTGCCTGTAACTATGCAACATTTCAGGAACACCATCCCCACACAATGACTTCTGCTCTCATCAGATGGCTCAAACAACTAATATCTTCTGGGATAAAAGCCTAGAAGGATCCAGAATTTGTATGTCCTTTTTAGAAGATCTTTTGACCCAAATAAAACCTATAGCAGATTCCTTTCCTATCCATTTGTCCACCTATAATACCAACACAAATTCTTACTCTTCCACAGGACTAACCACAAATTCATACTCCTACGCAAATATTATAAGATAATTAAGCTTTCTTTTCCATCTGTTTCACTTAGACATGTCTTCTTGGGCCAAACTATGAGCCTTAGACCATGGAATAAATTCAAGAGACTCAAGACCCGTAGCACATCAAGCATTATCAATTAACAGTAAACTGCCATATGGAGTGCTGTGACATTGTTTGACATGCCAAAGGGGTCCTACTGAAAGGAAATGGGAACTAGATACCATTCTCTAAATGGAGGGTTTCTAAAGATAGCTGATCTCATCCATTATATATTAAATCTCTTTAGTTTTAGTTTCATTCTATGAACTTTTCTTGACCTGTCATCACATTCTAGCTTAGTATATTCAAAGAAGCCACCTATGCCACTCACCATATTTTGTAGTTTAAATCTTTTTCAACAAGGTCTAACCCTGTGTTCCTCTTATAAGACTTCATTATTCATATTATTTCACTGATGGATGTTGAATATATATATTTGTATGACTATGTTGTACAATTTGAATACTAAGCTTTGTTTAATAAATTTTTTCACAAATTTTTAATCCCTTTAGTGGGTGACATTCTTTTCCTAGTAAGCTATTACATAACACATCCTCTATCTATGATTCACTTCCCAGGGTTCTGCCATGGGTGAATTCTACCTTGACGATGGCCATTCATTCCAATATCTCCACCAGAAGCAATTCTTGCACAGGAAGTTTTCATTCTTGGCAGGTGTTTTGATCAACAGGTAATAACAGCTAAAAAGCTGTGTGTTTTCTTAAATAATTTATGCTATCCTCAAAAGCACAACTGATATTTTAACATGCTAACTTCAAAATTACAGTGATCTCAGATTAAAGAAATTAAGGATGAAGACCATTTGTGGAGTATCTTTTTTTTTTCAGCTTCACTAAGGTATAATTGACAATTAAAATTGTAATATATCTGAAGTATACAACATTTTGATGATTTTGCTATCAGTATATACTGTAAAAGGATTCCCACAATCAACAAGTTAATTAACTCATCCATCACCTCACATATTTGCTGTGTGTGTGTGTGTGTGTGTGTACACTTAAGTTCTACTCAGTTGACAAATTTCAGTTATACAATATAGTATTGTCAACTATGGTCACCATCTTATACATTAGATTCTCAGACTTAGGGCACCTGGGTGGCTCAGTTGGTTAGAGCTTCTGCCTTCAACTCAGGTCCCAGGGTCCTGGGGTCAAGCCCCACATCGGGCTCCCTGATCAATGGGAAGCCTGCTTCTCTCTCTCCTGCTGCCCCTGCTTGTGTTCTCCCTGTCAAATACATAAATAAAATCTTAAAAATATATATATTCTCAGATTTTACTCATCTTATAATGGAAAGTTTGTCCCCTTTCACCAGCCTCTCCCTATTTCCACTTGCAAATAGAAATGATTTTACTTCTTCCTTTCCAATTTATTTCTTTTTCTTGCCTAATTACTCTGGCTAAGATGTCCAATACTATGTTGAACAAATATGGTGAAAAATGAACATCTTTTTCTTGTTTCTGATTTTGTTTCAGCTTTTCCCATTGAATATAATGTTAGCTGTAGGCTTATCATATACAGCTTTCATTACGTTGAGGTATATTCTTTCTTTTTTTGAGAAAGTGAGAGAAAGGGCACGAGCAGGGGGTAGGAAGGGGCAGAGGGAGAGGGAGAGAGAGAATCGTTTTTTTTTTTTTTTTTGAGAGAGAGAATTTTAAGCAGGCTCCATACTGAGCATAGAGCCTGATGCAGGGCTTGATCTCATGACCCTGAGATCATGACCTGAGCCAAAATCAAGAGTTGGATACTTAACTGACTGAGCCACAGGCTCCCTGAGGGTACATTCTTTCTGTACATAATTTGTGGAGAGTTTTTATCCTGAGGTACATTCTTTCTATACATAATTTGTGGAGAGTTTTTATCATGAAAGGCTGTTGAATTTTGTCAAATGCTTTTCCTATATCTACTGAAATAATATTATTTTTATCTTTTTTTGTTAATGTAATGTATCATATTTATTGATTTGCCTATGTTGAAGCATCTCTGTATCCCAGGAATAAATCCCACTTGATCATGGTGTATGATACTTTGTTGAGGAGTTCTACATCTGTGTTCATCAAGGATATTGGCCTATAATTTTCTTTTCTTATAGTGTCCTTGCTAGCTAGTATCAGGGTAATGCTGCCCTCATAAGATGAATTTGGAAGTGTTCCGTTTTTTGGAAGAATTCGAAAAGAATTGATATTCTTTAAATGTTTGATAGAATTCAACAGTGAAACCATCTGGTCCTGGACTTTTCTTTGTTGGCAGTGTTTGTGTTTATGAATTCAATATTCCTACTAGTAATTGGTCTGTTCAGATTTTCTATTTCTTTATGATTCACTATTGGCAGATTGTATGTTCTAGCAATTTATCCATTTCTTCTAGCTTTCCAATTTATTTTTTTAATTTTTTTATTTATTTATGATAGTTACACACAGAGAGAGAGAGAGAGAGAGGCAGAGACATAGGCAGAGGGAGAAGCAGGCTCCATGCACCGGGAGCCCGATGTGGGATTCGATCCTGGGTCTCCAGGATCGCGCCCTGGGCCAAAGGCAGGCGCCAAACCGCTGCGCCACCCAGGGATCCCAGCTTTCCAATTTACTGATGTGTAATTATTCATAGTAGTTTCCTATGATCCTTAGTATTTTTGAGGTATCAAATATAACATCTCCTCCTTCATTTCTCATTTTATTTATTTATTTATTTATTTATTTATTTATTTATCTATCTATTTATTTATTTAATTTATTTATTTTCCAGTGTAGTTAATATACTGGAAAATTAACATGTTAGTTTTCTGATTTTATTTATTTGAGTACTCTTTCTTTTTTTGTTGGTGAATCTAGCTAAAGATTTGCCTATATTGTTTATTTTTTCAAAAAAACTAGCTCTTGGGCAGCCTGGGTGGCTCAGTGGTTTGGCGCCTGCCTTTGGCACAGGGCGTGATCCTAGACACCTGGGATTGAGTCCCATGTTGGACTCCCTGCATGGAGCCTGCTTCTCCCTCTGCCTGTGTCTCTGCCTCTCTCTGTGTCTCTCATTAATAAATAAATAAAAATATTTAAAAGAAAAAACTCGCTCTTGGTTTCATTGATCTTTCCTATTGATCATTTTAACCTCTGTTCCATTTATTTTCACTCTGATTTTTGTTATTTCCTTCCTCCTACTAACTTTGGGCTTAGCTTGTTCTTTCTATAGTTTCTTGAGGTGTAAAGTTAGGTTGTTTATTTAAAATTTTTCTTTTTCTTAATGTAGGCATTTATTGCTATAAACTCCCCTCTTAGAATTGCTTTCACTGTATCCTGTAAGTTTTGGTATATTGTGTTTCCATTTTAATCTGCCTAAGGTATTTTATTTCCCTTTTGATTTCTTGTTTGACCCATTGGTTATTTAGGAACATATTATTTAATCTCCATATTTTTGTGAATTTTCCAGTTTTCTTGTAATTGATATCTACTGTTCTACCATTATGGTCAGAAAAGATGCTTGATATCATTTCAGTCTTTAAATTTGCTAAGACTTGGTTTTATTCTAACATATGGTTTGTCTTGGAGAATGTTCCATGTATGCTTAAGAACAATATGTATCTTCTGCCGTTGAATGGAATATTCTCTATGTATCTATTAAGTCTATCTGGCCTAACATGTAGTTTAAGTTCATGTTTTCCTTATTGATTTTCTGTGTGGATGATCTATCCATTGTTGGAAGTGGAGTATTAAAGTCCCCTGCTATCATTGTATTGCTGTCTATTTCAACCTTCATATCTGCTAATATTTGCATTATATATTTAGGTGCTCTGATACTGGGTGCATAAATATTTAAAAATGTTATAACCTCTTAGTGAGTTGATCCATTATATAACAATTTTTGTTGTCTTATTACAGTTTTTGGCATAAAGTCTGTTTTGTCTGATATAAATATTAGCTACCCCTGCTTTTTTTTTTTGGTCTCCATTTGCATGAAATATCATTTTCCATCCCTTCACTCTCAGTCTGTATGTGTCCTCAAAGCTGAAATGGGTCTCTTATAGATAGCATATAGTTAGGTCTTGACTGTTTAACCATTCAGCAACTCGGCCTCTATTGATTATAGAGTCTTTAGTTTAAATACACTTAGAATAATTATTGAGAGGTTGTGTGGGGGCTCATACCTCAGATGGGGGCCCTAAAACTGGGGCAATAGGAGTGTGATCCAAACCTTTTACTCTTCAGGAAGAAGTTAGTAGTTCCTCTCCCAATTGTATGACACTGTCCTGGGGGTGGGGGTTATGGTGAGAGTGTTTCAGCTCTTCCTACCTGTTTTAGTGGGGTATTTCCTCAGTCACCTGATATAGAAGAGTCACTCTTCTATATACAGAGCTAGTTTCTGTATCTCTAAAAGGAAATTAATTGCTCCACGTGTAGCTCCACACTCTGTGGATCCATGGGAGGAAGGAAATTCAGGGGCCTCTTATGTTTCCATCTTGGTCTGGAGTTTCCCTGAAGTATTTTTCAATCACTCCATGAACCAACCTTCCTTATTGTCTCCATCTTCCTTTTCTTCCCTCTCTAAAAAATAAAAAGAATTCAATTTAAGTTATGATTAATCCCATTTATCCACCCATTAAGCAATTATCTGATTTCTTAAAATCTTATTGCAGTATCCAAGTCACATTTGAGACTTCAGTGTCCTTAGATTATTTCTCTCCAAATGGCTTGTTAAAAGAAGATTGGTTTGTCTACTGGTTAGGCTGCCCTTGACACAGGGAATCATCTGTTTCCATCTCTTCATCATAGTAAACGTGACAACCATATCGTTCATGCCTCCATAGGGAAAGATGGGAGGGAAACTCACAAGGCTGGGATGTTGACATAGTAATGAGTCCAAACCCCTCTTCCTCTCCTTTTCCTAATGCCATTTGTATCTATTCCAGTTGTGCTGACAAAAGAGGTCATTATCCTAGCAAGTGTGTGGTGGAGCAGATCTTTGTCCAAGGCCTCAAGAAGCAGCCATCTTCTGTGACCACCCATTCATCTGGTGAGGAAACAGGTCATTTGGTTTTATAAACATGGGAGTATCTGCAGCAAAGAGATGATTAGTCCTAAAACTGATTGACTAATTGCACTTAGTCAATTGCACCCTACACTTTCTTATGGAGATCAAATATACTGGTATCTAGAGGAAGCCAGGCCATTGTGCTTCTCATCAACTGGCCTTTCTGCAAACTGTAAGCTATTAATATTTTTCTAAGGGAAATTACTTGGGGCTTGAAATAACATTGTAGCTTCTCTGAATATATTTTTAACTGTAGATATCTGAATCCCCAGAGAATCCTACCCATGTTTATGGAGTTTCCTAAAGGGATATATCCTTTCTTACCTACTGAATTTCTTGGGTAAATCACTTTGTTCCTTACAATTTCTTTTCAACCAATATTGCACTCAAAATGATGGAATGTTTAATGTTTAATAAGTTCATGGAAATCCATGGGTAAAAGTGCTACTAAATTGGATTCTCCTAAGTAGAGTTTAAGGTTTTATGATCAAGTCAGAAATATTTTAAATTCAAAGGAAAGATTTTCTCTCCTAGATATTCATCTAACTCTTCCTCTTATTGTCTTGATATTTAGATGGTAAAGAGGAGCCTGTGGCTTTTACATATTGTGCCAAAATGTCTACCCTGAGGCTAGAGAAGCTCTCACTGAACATCGGCACTGACTGGGAAGTCCACATCAGATGACAGTGAAGTGCACCCGTTGATGAGCACAGGAAGCAGCCTGCACCTTTTACCCTTTCCCTTGACCTTTACTGTTATTTGTGCTGCATGCTAATTGACTTCTCTGGCTACAAATGATCTTTCATTAGTTACCAGTGTACTAATGAGAATAGATCTCAGGTTTTATAAATTTTTTAAATATTTATTTATTCATGAGAGACGTACACACAGAGAGAGAGAGAGAGAGAGAGGCAGAGACATAGGCAGAGGGAGAAGCAGGCTCCATGCAGCAAGTCCTGGGCCAAAGGCAGGCACTAAACCATGAGCCACCCAGGGATTCCCCTGGGTTTTACATTTTTAGAGGTACTAGTAATACTCTTTGTGTCAAATACTACTTCTTTCCTAGATGCAAGTAGCCCCAAGACATTTATAGAGTTCATTGATCTGCTGCTGCTTCTTGGACCATGGCGCTGTGGTACACACTGTGGCCCAATGAGTAGCTTATCTTTGAGCATAACTGGATGGGTTTATTTGTTGTTCTTTTTTTTTTCTTTAAGTGAACTCTGCCCCCAATGTGAGGCTCAAACTCACAACCTTGAGATCAAGAGTCGTATGCTTTACCAACTGAGCCTGCCAGGCACCTCTGGATGAGTCTGTTACATGTGAGATGTGGGCCAAACCCACCTTGTGTGGCCCATTTGTGGAAGCTTGCCTCAGGCCAAGCGGCAGAGTCAGGCTGACTATAGCTGCTGAATTGCTTAAGGCCTATCTCCAATAGACAGCAACCTTTGGTACCCCCCCCACCCCCAGTTATCTTTCACTCACTTAGATGTGGGTAAAACAACCCTTTTCTGTTTGCACTGCATACACTGCAGCGATAGGAAGTTAATATCCCCTAAAGACTGACTTAGAAGCACAAAGGATTCTTTTCCCTGTCATGCTCTTTGGGCTTCACAGTTCCTAATTAATCTCCTTAAAATTACAATTTATCTTAATTATTTTCATTAAATACTGTTTACTAATCACAGAATATTTGTAACATAAGTAAGCTATAGCTTATAGTTAATAATTAAATGAATACCCATATACCCAATACCAAACTTCAGAAATAGAACAGAAGGCTGGGATAAGCGGATCCCTGGATGGCTCAGTGGTTTAGTGCCTGCCTTTGGCCCAGGGCATGGTCCTGGAGTCCCAGGATCAAATCCCACATCGGGGTCCCTGCATGGAGCCTGCTTCTCTCTCTGCCTGTGTCTTTGCCTCTCTCTCTGTGTGTGTTTCTCATGAATAAATAAATAAAATCTTTAAAAAAAAAAAAAAAAGGCTGGGAAAAGGGTAAGTGAGGTACTTGCCTTGGGCAAAAAGTTTAAGGGGGTACGGAAAAAATGCAATCATCAAAATGAATAATATTTTAATATGGTATTTTTTAATCAAAATTAATGCAAAAAATAATTCCTGAAGAACAAAATATCAACATTTTATTTTTTTAAGATCTTATTTATTGGGATCCCTGGGTGACACAGTGGTTGGGCGCCTGCCTTTGGCCCAGGGCGCGATCCTGGAGACCCGGGATCGAATTCCACGTCAGGGTCCCAGTGCATGGAGCCTGCTTCTCCCTCTGCCTGTGTCTCTGCCTCTGTGTGTGTGTGTGTGTGTGTGTGTGACTATCATAAATTTAAAAAAAAGATCTTATTTATTTATTCATGAGAGACACAGAGAGAGAGAGAGAGAGAGAGGTAGAGAGGTAGAGACACAGGCTGAGGGAGGAGCAGGCTCCATGCAGGGAGCCCGACACGGAACTCGATCCTGGGTCTCCAGGATCATGCCGGGCTGAAGGCTGCGCTAAACCGCTGAGCCACTGGGGCTGCCCAAAATATCAACATTTTAAATAAAGACATGATCAGTATTACTGAGTTTTCCTTTTCCCTCAGGCTCCGGTATGGTTTGGGCATGGTCTAGAACATTACACCACACCAGTTCCTTAGAATGCTTGCTGCTCTGGAGCTGCCTGTGACTCCCTGCTGCCTGCCACCGCTGCTGTGAGGCAGCCTCATGTCCTCAGCACTCCTAAACCAATGCACATTTCCATGTTTCCTTCCCTAAGCAACTTGCCAACTGCCACCTCTGTGCCTTCTGTTCCCTGGGCCCCATATCTACTGCCTTCCCCCATCTGTGGAGATCTTACCATCCATTCAGGCCCCAGTCAAATGCCCCTTTTCCATTAAGCGTTTCTAGCTAGCCCAACACCCCCATGCCAGTGCACCCATGAGCAGTGATTTTGCCCATTTCTGAAATGTTGTTCTAGTGTGTTCTACTTAGCATTCTCAGGGATAGTCCCTTAGTATTTCAATCCTGTCTGTCTTGTCCCCCAGCTAGATTGTATGTTCCTTAAGAGCCTGTTATATTTGTCTTCTGTCTGCCAGAGCAGCATTACACTTAGCTTTCAGTAACTATTGGCTACAAGTGGTTAACTGATGGATTTGATTGATTAAAAAATGAGAATTGCATATATTAGTTTCGGATTTACTTTATTTATTTATTTATTTATTTATTTATTTATTTATTTATTTATTTAAAGATTTTATTTATTTATTCATGAGAGACACTGAGAGAGAGAGGCAGAGGCACAGGCATAGGGAGAAACAGGCTTCATGCAGGAAGCCCGATGTGGGACTCGATCCCAGGTCTCCAGGATCATACCCTGGGCTAAAGGTGGCACTAAACCACTGAGCCACCTGAGCTGCCCTGGATTTACTTTTTTAAAAAAAGATTTGTTTATTTATTTATTCATGAGAGATACAGACAGAGAGAGAGGCCGAGACACAAGCAGAGGAAGAAACAGGCTCCTTGCAGGGAGTCCGATGCGGGACTTAATCCCGGATTCCTGGAGCCACCCAAGTGTCCCAGATTTACTTTTTTTTGACAACACTCTTCCCTCTAGATGCAGTAGACATTGTACATTTCCTTGTGGACATGTTTCATTATATCAATTAAGGTTTGAGCTTTGTACCGTATATAAGCTGACACAGACATTTGCAGATTCTTTGCTAACTCTGTAAGTTTTACAAATGAGGAGAAAGGAAGAAGCTGGCGTTAACTGAAGCAGTATTTCCCAGCTTCAAACTTCCCTTTAGCAACCTACAGTAAGAACCTGAAAACAGGGTGCTTTTACCTAATATAAATGATTGTTTTTACTAGCATTTAAAGTTGAATAATTAAGACCTATCTTTAACATTTGTTGCGTTTATTCTTCCATGTAAAATATTTTTGAAGGAAGAAATGAAATATGAACTACTTGAGTAAATTAGGAGTACATTGCTCTACCTTGACCCAGAATGATACTGAAACATTCACCTGGAGACATTGAGTAGAGAGAAATACAGTCTGGGTGTTAATTGTTCTCTGCCCTTTACTGCTTCTCACACATTACTCACCTCCTGTTTCTGCAGCTGTGCACCAGAGCACTATGTGAGGGTGAGTTGGCCTGCAGGTGTTCAGTTACCATGTGGCTAACTTTTGACATGTTTACTCAGGAAACTGGATTTCATGTAAGAATTAGAACGATCTCCACAGAGATTGAAACAAAGCTCTCAAATGCATAATGTGTCTACTTAAGGCTTAAATGCCAAGAAATGAAAGTTGACAAATTAGTCTAAATCAGAAACTGCCCAATAGAAAAACAGGAAGAGGTAATTTATAAAAGAAAGTAAAACAGACAAAACAAGCATGAAGGGTGCTCAGCCTCATTAATAATCAAAGAAATGATTTTTTTTTTCACCCAACTAGCCAAGATGAAAAAGAGTAAAGGTGTCCAGTACCTGTGTTGGTGTGGGGAATAGGCATACTCATGCATCATTGGTGGAATTATAAATAAGTACAATCTTTCAGGATGAGTATCTGGCAATGGTATCAAAACTTTAAATTTGCATTCTCTAATTCATCAATTCCACTTCAGATAAATCAGATAAATTGTTCAGTGCTACTAATTTCAGTGTGATTTACACTAGGAGTAAGCTGTATTCTTTAATGGGACTGGTTAAATATAGCCCTTTCATACAACAGAATACTATGCAAGTATTGACCTATAGGACTAACTATGTTCTGGGCACAGCTCACTTCAGAACAGGTGAACTCCCATGTGTCAACATGACCAAGGCCAATCCCAGATCATGCCATTCTCTTAAAGGCTCTCTAGAGGAGAAAGCTCAGATTGTCACCAAGAGTTTGTCTTAAAGTTGTGCTGAGCCTTGTATCCTGATTAACAAAAACTAGTGAACCTGGGCGCACCTGGGTGGCTCAGATGGTTAACCATCTGCCTTCAGCTCAGGTCATGATCTCAGGGTCCTGATTTCCAGGTCCTGGGATCATCCCTGCATCAGGCTCCCTGCTCAGTGGGGAGTTTACTTCTCCTTCTGCTCTGTTTCTCCCCTCTGCTCATGTTCTCTCTCTCTCTCTCTCTCTCTCTCTCTCTCTCTCTCTCTCTCTCTTTTTCTCTGTAATGAATAAATAAAAATCTTTAAAAAAAATAAAACAGTGCATCTGTTCACCATAGCCACAGAGAAGACTGCATTTCTCTGTGTTCTGGAGTTTGTTCTGTGTGCAGGATTCTTCTACTTTTTCACATCTCTTTCAGTATCAGGGTATCATAATGATAGCAGAAACACAGTCAAAAAAAGCTTAATGGTTTTTCACCCGTAACTGACCATCCTACCTCAGAGCTTTCTGGGAAATGGAATGCCTATGACAATATCAAACTTCCCACTCTGCTTTTAAGATTTCCACCTACCAAACCTTCTGAATGCCTTGTGTAAATTCCAGGGGCAGCACCCAAGACAAATAACTTCGCAGCTAAGGGCATAGAAAGCCAACAGTAACTACACTGGAAATAGATTAGCATATTAACCACAGACAATGGAGGCCATATAACTAGCATTCTAGGAGAAATAAAGGATGGCATTTGATATCAAATCTGCCTGTCTTATGACCAGCATTGCAAAAGACTGTGCGGTGCCATAGAAAGGCCAGCCAGAATTTGACAGCTGCTTCTTGACAGTTGTTTCCAGCAGGCTGTGGTATTAGATTCTTCCCCAGTCAGAGCTAAGGAAAGGGGAGCCCTCACTATTTATATGCAAGGATCCAGCAATCTTATGTCTAGCTCACATTACTGGAGTCATCGTTATGCATTTAGTATCTCCCTGGAAATCAGAAAACCTGGGGTCTAGTTTGGTTCTGCACAAACTGACTGAGGGATCTTGGCCATGTCATTTAATCTCTCCAGGCCTTGGTTTTCTCATTTGTTAGATAATTTCTAAGATTTTGTGAGCTTTCCATGACCTCTCTGTAAAATTATAGCAGATATCTCAAGTTTCCTCATGTAAAATAGGATTAATCAAACCCACAAGGTGATAATACAGATTTAAGCTATTCTATGTGGAAGTGCCTGGGTGGCTCAGTCAATTAAGTGTCCAACTCTTGATCTCAGTTCAGTTCTTGATCTCTGGGTCATGAGTTCAAGTGTCCAGTGTGGAGCCTACTGAAGAAAAAAAAAAATAGAGGACACCTAGGTGGCTCAGTAGTTGAGTGTCTGCCTTTGGCTCAGGACATGATCCCAGAGTTCTGGGATCGAGTCCCACGTTGGGCTCCCTGCATGGAGCCTGCTTCTCCCTCTGCCTGAGTCTCTGCCTCTCTCTCTCTGTGTGTGTCTCTCATGAATAAATAAATAAAATATTTTAAAAAATAAAAGAAAAAACACGTATCCTAGTGAGTAAGGGACAGATGGGGCTAGGTAGGGAGAGATAGGTAGGGGGCTACATGACTAGGCTCATGCAGGGGTTATGTGTTCAGACTCACAGAAATCCCAGGTGTGGGAAATGCTAAGGCATACAAAACCAGAGATAAGAGAATATAATGAGACAATGAGACTACCTTTTCAGAGACAAGATATCTCTCTAAGAGCTACAGCTGGACCACTGAAAATTATCAAACTTCAAAGTAAAGGTAAACGTAGTGCTCTCAGATTTAAGTCCTCTAGTCAGTTCTCAATAAAAGACTGCCAGCGAAAGCCACAGTGGCAATGCATTCAGGACCCCTCTCACTCTATAGAGCTTTTTTCTTTCCTTTCTGTTTTCACCTTCACTTAATAAACTCACTTCACTTGACCCTTTTGTGTCCATGAGATTCGTTCTTCAACTCTGTGAGACAAGAACCCTGTGATCCTGTAACACTATGTGTACGGAAAGGGAAAAATAGTAACTCTATTTTGCAGAAACCTGGTAGATTCTACCTTAGCCAGGTGATCAAGATTGACGTCACCTATGATAAAACACATCTATATCGTGTACTCCCAAATGAGAAGGGCATATGACCTGTGATATTCTTTCCCCAAATCCACAAGCTCAGTATAATCAAATGAAAAACATCAAACTCAAGCTGAAGGGCATTCTACAACATACCTGCCAAGTACTCTAACCAAATACCAAATCATGAGAGACAAAGACTGAGGAACCATCAGAGATGGGAAGATACTGAGGAGACATAACAAAAATGCTGTGCAGGATCCTGGATCAGATCCTATAACAGGAGAGGAAGAAACAAAACCATTAGTAGAAACACTAAAGAAACAAAATATGGGGCATCTGGGTGGCTCAGTGGTTGAGCATCTGCCTTTGGCTTAGGTCATGATCCCAGGTCCTGGGATCAAGTCCCACATCAGGCTCCCAACAGGGAGCCTGCTTCTCCCTCTGCCTATGTCTCTGCCTCTGTGTGTCTCTCATGAATAAATAAAATCTTAAAAAGAAAGAAATCAAAATATGCCTTCTAATTTAGTGAATAGTATTTTACCAACATTAATTTCTTAGTTTAGATCATTGTACCACAGTTACATAAGGTATAAACATTAGGGGAAGCTGGGTGAAAGGCATACAGAGACTCTCTACTATCTTGCAACTCTTTTGCAAATCTAAAATTACCTTAAAATGAAAAGTTTTGAAAACTATGTGCAGTGGCCAGCTCACAGCAGGCACTTAATGAATGATGGGTGTTATAAGCAAATGCAGTGCTTCCAATAGAATTGAATCAAAGAAAAATTTATTGATGGAAAAGATAGTGATACAAACCCATAATTCGGCTTGTTGGTGCCAGAGAAACCAGTCCAATCACAGATATTGCATGATGTTGGCTGAAATATGTTATAAAAACTAGTTCTGGGATCCCTGGGTGGCGCAGCGGTCTGGCGCCTGCCTTTGGCCCAGGGCGTGATCCTGGAGACCTGGGATCGAATCCCATGTCAGGCTCCCAGTGCATGGAGCCTGCTTCTCCCTCTGCCTGTGTCTCTGCCTCTCTCTGTGTGACTATCATAAATAAAAAAAAAAAAAAAAAAAAACAAAAAAAAACTAGTTCTTTATCCTCAAAGAGACTTTTGGGAATCGAAATGTACAGCTGCTCACATGCTCATTATCTGCCTTTTGTTCTTGGGCTCAGATCAGATTTCTCCCGGATAGCATGAGTTTCTACAGCTACACAGCTGAATAAACCTTGGTTTTGGAACTGCTAATCTTGAGAGGGGGCGGTTTATCCACAACAGTTGATAAAGCAAAATGCATAGCACATTGCACTCTATGTGTTTGATATTCCCATCCTGCTATGACAATAGGCTCATCTTCTCACACACTCATCTCAGTTACCAAGTTACTTAGACGGCCAAGGAATGAAAGGTCAGTGGGTGTGTGGCCCAGAGATAGCTCCCCCCACCCCAGGGACAAATCAGCCAAAATGCTTTGATTGCATTAGCAAAGCAATAAGAAGGGTAAGAAATTTCTCCTCACATAGGGAAATTTTGTTCAGCAGATAAACAACATGTATTTAACCAAGAGTATTTTATGTGCTTAATCCTGAGAGTAGAATGGGAACCCAAGTCCCAACTTCACAGAGCTAGTAGTGTCTTGGAGGGCAAACAGGAAGCTCAATTAGCAGAAACAATAAAATGTGGGAGGGTGCTGTGAATTTCAAGATGGTACAGAGCAGTGGGATGGGACTCCAACGTTTAATGGTGGGGAAAGGAAGCTTCCCCCCTCTGCTTTCCATGTCACTGGGGAGTTTGAGAGTGGAAGTCAGTCTTTTTAGAGGCTTTTTTTAGTGTAGGCAGATAGGCATGCCCTGATTGGAAACACTGTGACCACACGATCCTGAGCAGATTGCACCTATCCCAGTGCTGTACACATGGAAGATGTTCAGTACATGCTCATAGACTGAATGCTGACTTGCACCAATGAGTGGCTGCCATCCAAACTGATCTAACCCCAAAGTAATGTTAAATTTAGGAACCTCTAACAACAGCATTTATTGAGTGCTTAAGAAAATCCTGGCATCGTTTTAAATGTTTTTACATAAATTAAGTTGCTTAATTTTTACGATAACTCAATAACAGAATGGTTATCCACATACCCACTCTATAGGTGAGAAAACTGAGACTAGGAATAAAGGAAGAAGTAACCCACCTAAAGTTACCCAGGCACAGCCAGCAAGCAGCAGGTCCAAACTTTGAACCCAGGCAGTCAGCCTTCAGGCTGCCCTCCCCTAAGAGTAGTAGTAAAGGTCCTTGGGCATTAGAGGCAGGAGGATAGGTTGATGGTACCTACAAGCAGCAGCTCCAAACACAGGGCTCCTCAAAGCTGCAACCCCAGTGATCATGAGCCCAGTAGTACTCCCTATCTCAGCTGTCACTTCCCACCTTCTCTCACAGCCTCCAGCCTTGGGCTGATGAGACCAGTCACATGGTAACAGGCAGGGCTACAGTCTAGGTCAAGCCTCCATTGAGCCACGCATGGAACATCGCCATCTCCTTACCTCCCAGGTACTGGCTACCAGGGGTACAACACTAGGTGGAGGCCAGGAAGGCAGTTCCCTTCCCCAGAGCCACTTGTGATCTTCTCTAAGAGCCCTGAAACCAACTCTTTTGGAATGACATCCCCCGAGACTTGTCAACAGGCAACCCCGATTCAGTGTCCAATTCCACCTTCTGACTCAGATGCCTAATTGGCAGGCCTGCATAGTCAACTCAGGTGCACTTTTTGTAGCAAATTTGGTCCAGTATTTATTTTGGGGGTGGAGAGAGACAAGAGGTATCTAGGTCAAGTGGGCAAGAAAGAGACAGGGATTTTTCTCAACTGGGGACTCTGCTGAGTGGCATTTTCTACCCAGACAGTTCCACTGAACGCTGACACCATAACATTCTAGAAGAGATGCCAAATCCAACTGAATCATGTTCTGATACCCTAGAGTTTTAGAAAGTGAAGATCACGTTCTCAACAATGTCTAGAACATTCTCCTAGACTTCAGTATCTCACCTTCACCCTTGCTACCTTTTTTCTCAATATTGATCTCCATTGCCTTGGTGGCGATGGTTGGCAGTCTGCATACGAGCCGACTCGCCAACGCATCAGCAGTTCTTTGCTCATTATCGGTGCTCAACCTCCTCGGATATTCCCCTTTCCGTTTCCTGACAATACCAGCCCTTGACGACACCAGGGAAACGTCCCTAGCCAGGCCCTTCTTTCTCCCCTGCGCCGGCTGGCTGCACACTAGCCTCCCCTGCTGTCATGCTCATCATCTTTCTTCATGTCTATTTTTAGTGTCCCTGGCTCGGGCCTCTGAGGGCCACTGAAACACAACCCCGTCTGGCCCTGCGGCTCCCTGTGGCACGGCGGCCGCCCAAATCCTCCAGGGCTCCTTCCTCAGGACAACAGCGGACTTCGGGGGCGCTTTGGACATGGAGAGACGCTGGGTGACCATCTGATGGGCTTCAGCTTCGAATGTGGACGTGGACATTTTTCTCTCAGATGACACAGTCCCTCCAACCTCCCCTCTGCTGCGGCTTCCTCCCCTTGCAGGTAGCTGTGTCTTGTTTTCCTTGAAAACCTCTTCCTCCCCAGCTTGCCCGCCATGCCAACCGTCATCAGCGCATCGGTGGCCCCACGGACGAGGGCCGAGCCCAGGTCCCCGGGGCCAATTCCCCCCCCTGACCAAGGCAGGACCACCGAGGCCGGGGACGCGAACCCCAATGGCATCTATTCCGCCATCATCAGCCGCAATTTTCCCATCATTGGAGTGAAGGAGAAGACATTCGAGCAGCTTCATAAGAAGTGTCTGGACAAGAAGGTTCTTTATCTAGATCCTGAGTTCCCACCGGATGAGACCTCTCTCTTTTACAGCCAGAAGTTCCCCATCCAGTTCATCTGGAAGAGGCCTCCGGTGAGTAGCTTGCAGGCTTGGGCCCTACCGGCGCCCAGAGCGCGTGGGCCCCCGACGGGAAGGCCCCGGGCAGCAGCTCCGCAGGGCTCCGTCCTCCGCCGTGGCCCAGCCCATTCTCACCCTCTTGCTCTCTTTTTTCTGAAAAAACATCTTGCTTTTTATAACAATAGGGGGAACTCGGTTTAATTTGTCTTATAAAAGTAAATATCCCTTTCCCAGAACAAATCTTTGTAAGAGCCCTTCGATTTGGGGTCAAATCCTGTTGTTCTTTACTTTGTCAGTGGCCAGGACTTTCTGCCACACAGGAGCCCTGGAAAGAAGAGAGTAGCCGGCAAAGACCACCTTTTCTTGCATGAAATGTTCGGGTTAGAAGGAGAAATCCTTAGCCGTCATTTTTGTCCACATACCTCACCCCACAAATGAGAAAGACACACAGAGTGAAGTACATCCAGAGAGAGCATGACAGCTGGAATTAAAACCCTTTCTCTCTAGAAAACTCTTCCAGCCTCTGGGTTTCGTTTACAGTGATCTATCAGAAGGAAAATCCTATCCCCCTGGCTCCCTTCTCTCATCAGATCTCCTGTATGACTCTTACTCTTAATTCAAGGAATATTTATTAGGTATCTACTAGAGCCACAAAGTGGGCAATCGACTGGGGAGACAGTGGTGGATAAGAAAGACAAAAATTAGGGTGCCTGGGTGGCTCAGTTGGTTAAATGTCCAGCTCTTGATTTCAGCTCAGGTCATGGTCTCCAGGTCAGGGGATGGAGCCCTGCTTTGGGCTCCCTGCTCAACGGGAAGTCTGCTTGAGGATTCTCCCTCTCCCTTTGCCTCTCCCCCTGCTCACTCCCCACTCCAAATAAATAAATAAAAGAAAGAAAGAAAGAAAGAAAGAAAGAAAGAAAGAAAGAAAGAAAGAAAGAAAGAGAAAGAAAGAAAGAAGACAAAAATTTCTGCTCTCCTGGGGTCTAGAGTCCTGAAGGGAAAGCTGTTAAGAGAGAATGTTCAGATGCTATGGGATCCCAAGGCAAGGGGAGCTAATGCCATCCAGGGAGAGAAACCCTCCCTGAGGAGATGGTCGAAGCTGAGGCCCAGTGCTATTCATTAGCTTAGTCAAGTTACTCTGGCACCTAGTGCCATTGATTAGCCATGTTTTCTTCCTAACCTGAGATGAAATGACCAACAACTCTGATCTCACTCTGTGGATTCCCCAGGGTTCCTTTCCTCTCCTGATAGTTCTGTTGTGAGGCCTGTGATTGCCCTGAGGTCCCTCAGTTTAGAAGAAAGGACTGGCAGGAACTTCATTCTGCAGCCCAGTCGCTGCCCTGCTGCCAGAGTACTGGCTCATGTCACATCCCTGCTGAAGTATCTTCAATGACACTGCTGTCCCCTCCCCACATGCCTTCAGGATAACTACAAACTCCTCGACTGAGCTATAAGCCTTCCCAAGCTAGTCCCTGCATACCTGTCCATTTCATTTACACCCTCTCCCTCCAGACCCTGACACATTCAGCTGCTCCGTTGTTCCAAATCCTGTACTTGAAGCCTTTGCTCATGCTCTCCGTCTGGAATGACCTCCTTGTTTTTATCTGATCTGCTGTCCCTCCCACTCTCTCCACTGCTCAGTTATCACTTCCTTCAAGCATTCACACGTCTGTTCCCCATCTGCTGAGAATATAGGAACCATTCCTGGTCACCTCTGGACCCCCAGGGAAGGGCCAGATCCACTGTGGGCTCAGCTGCTGGTGGCTGAATGCAATCCCACAGTCGAGGGCATTGAGCACCAAGAGATAAGGCAGCCCAGCGCTCCAAGGTGTGGGAGATAGTTCCTAAAATCCTTTGGTTTTTTTTATTTGTTTGTTTGTTTTTAAAGTAGGCTCCATGCCCAGCGTGGAAACCAACATGGGGCTTGGACTCACAACCCTGAGATCAAGATCTGAACTTGAGATCAAGATTTGGACACTTAACCAACTGAGCCAGCCAGGCACCCTCTAAAAGCCTTTTCTAACACTACTACAGAGACCAAAAAAACTTACAAATGCTGTTTTTAGTGAAATCACTGGTGGATTTTATTTTTTTATTTTTTTAAGATTTTATTTATTTATTCATGACAGACACACAGAGAGAGAGAGGCAGAAACACAGGCAGAGGGAGAAGCAGGCTCCATGCAGGGGGCCCGACATGGGACTCGATCCCAGGTCTCCAGGATTACACCCCAGGCTAAAGGCGGCGCTAAAAGCTGGGCCACCAGGGCTGCCCTCACTGGTGGATTTTAGTCTTAAAAGCTAGACTTGGATATTAACAAAAACAATATAAGCTTCTGTATGCTCTAGCCACTATGTCAGTCCTAAAATTTATACTGTCAGTGTAACATTGGAGGCACCAGAAGCCTGTCTGTTTCAAAGTGTGCTCCCACCACCAACACCCCCTCACGTATAGGTGAAGTGATTAAGGTCCAAAAAGGGCAATCACACAAAATGATTGAAATTAAAACAGTGAAATGAATCCAGAACTTTCTGGAGTGTAAAGCAGTTCTTGGAGACATGTTTTCCATGCCTTCCAAAGATGTAGCAACCTTTGCAAGGTTTGAGCAGTCTGAAATGGAGACTGTCCTAGGAGAGGCCCTTCCTGCTTTTACTATCTGAGGCACGGACTCACTGAAAGCCAGTCTAAATGTGTCTTCATAATCAAGTTATACATATTACAATTGGATGGTGGCAGTAGTGATGGTATGATGATGATGATGATGATGATGATGATAAGAGGAGAATTATTCTAACCACGTATAATTCTAGTTATGATGCTGCACTTTCAGTCCTTTTTAAAAGAAGAGACATCCAGGCCACCTATCCAGGCACACCTGTAATCTCTTCTCACTCAGTCACCAGTGCTACCTCACTGCTTTCCCTCCTCTACTAGGGAGCTTCATGCATTGAGTCTCCAGGTCAAAATGATTCCTCTTGCCCTTTCTTCTATGATCTATTTCTAGAATCAGAAAACAAACAAACCGTGCAGCGTTTCCCAATTGTTGAGCCACATTTTCTTGATGACAGACCCCAAGACAGAAGAAAATGGTTTTTAGAAAAGGGCCTCTGGGAAACTGACTGCTATTGCCCAATTTCATCAATGAAATATTACTTTGTCAGAACGGCTAGAATAAAAAAGATGTAGAAATAACAAATGTTGGTGAGGATGTGGAGAAAAAGGAACCCTTGTGCACTGTTGGCGGGAATGTAAATTGGTGCAGCCACTGTGGAAAACACTTTTGTCCAAAGAAAACAAACACGCTAATTTGAAAAGATATGTGCACCCCTATGTTTACTGCAGCCTTATATACAATAGCCAAATTATGGAAACAACCCAAGTATACACACACACACACACACACACATACTGGACTATTACTTGTCCATAAAAAAGAATGGAATCGGGATCCCTGGGTGGCGCAGCGGTTTGGCACCTGCCTTTGGCCCAGGGCTCGATCCTGGAGACCCGGGATCGAATCCCGCGTCGGGCTCCCGGTGCATGGAGCCTGCTTCTCCCTCTGCCTGTGTCTCTGCCTCTCTCTCACTGTGTGCCTATCATAAATAAATAAATAAATAAATAAATAAATATAAATAAATAAATAAATGGAATCTTGCCATTTGCTACAACATGGATGGCTCTAGAGAGTATAATGCTAAGTGAAACAAGTCAGACAGAGAAAGACAAATACCAAATGATTTCCCTCAAATGTGAAATCTAAGAAACAAAACAAATGAACAAATAAACAAAGAGACACATAAAAATGCTCTTCAATACAGAGATCATACTGGTGCTTACCAGAAGGGAAGTGGTTTGGGGGATGGGTAAAATAGATAAAGGAGATCAAGAGGTAAAGACTTCCAGTTATAAAATAAATAAGTGATGGAGATGAAAAGTACAACATAGGGGATATAGTCAATAAGATTGTAATAATGTTGTTTGGTGACAGATGGTGACTACGCTTAATGAGGTGAACACTGAGTAATGTATAGAATTGTTGAATCATTATGTTGTGCACCTGAAACCCAGTATAACCCTGTATGTTAATTATACTTCAATAAAAAGAAAAAATCCAAAATAATAATAGTAAGTAGGACCGCCTTGGCTGGTTCAGTTAAAAGAGTAAGCCGTTCTTAATTTTGGGGTCATGAGTTTGAGGCCCATTTGGGTGTAGAGATTACTTACATAAAAATTTTAACATAGTATTAATAAATAAATCATTACATTTTTCAGGTTAGGTCTTGTTACTACTACAAAATTATCTTTGATTTTTTTAAAGATTTTTATTTATTTTTTCATGAGAGACACACACACACAGAGAGAGAGAGAGAGGCAGAGACACAGGCAGAGGGAGAAGCAGGCTCCCCCCAGGGATCCTGATGTGGAACTTGATCCCCAGACCCCAGGATCATGACCTGAGCCAAAGGCAGATGCTCAACCACTGAGCCGCCCAGGTGTCCCTTATCCTTGATGTTTTTTTACAGATATATCACCAAGTATGCTTAACAAAATATGAATGCTTAATATGGCATTAAAGACTCTGGCTTTTCTCTTCATGAGGAAAACTCATAAAGAAAAATTAGGAAGATCCTTTTAATTTCAGAAAGAATCATGTCTCTCTGGGGTGGGCATGATTGTTGTTTAGTTGGGGGGGGAAATGCTAGTTTATTTACAATAGGGAGGGAGCCAGAATAGAAACCAGAGTGGGGTGGGAAGAAGCAACAGGGCAAGAGACCATATATACCAGTGTCATCCCCCCACTTGACCTAATGCCCAAAGACATCTTTACTCATGAACTTGTAAAATGCCTGAGGCAAGTAAAAAGTAACTTTTTTGGTAAAGCAGGGAAGTTAGTGTCTTCAGTTACACAGACAGGATGAGCCAGCACACCCAGAAGCCAGGGTGTGGAAAGCACAGTAGTGGGGAAAGAAAGAGGTATACAGAAGCATGCTGCCAGAAACCCACTGAATATCACAGGGGAGGGGAGGAGGCTCTGTCCTCTCAGAGGCTATGAGGTGGCAGTTCCAGATCTCTTAGTAACTGTGAGGCCCCCACTAACACCTGGAGTGTGCCCTGCTTAAGAGAAGCTGACACATGGTGCAGCCACGGAGCTTACTCAAAAAGTTAAAAATAGAACTACCCTATGATCCAACAATCGCATTACTGAATATTTACCCAAAGTATACAAAAACACGAATTCAAAGGTATTATATGTACCCCTATATTTATAACAGCATTATTTATAATATCCAAGAAATGGAAGCAGCGCGAGTGTCCATAGATGAATGGATAAATAAAATGTGACATATCTATTATATATATATATATATTATATATATAATATATATATTATATATATAATAATGAAATATTATTCAGCCACAAATAGAATGAAGTCTTTCAATTTGCAATGACATGGATGGAGTTAGAGAGTATATGCTAAGCAAAATATATCAGAGAAGGACAAATACCATCTGATTTCACTCATGTGTGGAATTTAAGAAACAAATCAGCAAATGGGCAAAAGAGAAAGAGACAAATTAAGAAACAAATTTTATTTTATTTTATTTTTTTTTTGAAAAACCGACAGCAACCAGGAGTTCAGCTTTTTATTGAGCAGCTTATAAAAGTTTAGTCAAAGAGACCAAAGCCCATGTCATCATCAGACTCCTCAGATTCTTCTTTCTTGGCTTCCACTTTTTTCTCCTCAGCTGGGGCAGCACCGGTGGAAGGAGCAGGACCTCCTGCTGGCGCAGCACCAGCTGCTGGCGCAGGTCCACCAGCTCCTACATTGCAGATGAGGCTCCCAATGTTCACGTTGGCCAGGGCCTTTGCAAACAAACCCGGCCAGAAAGGCTCAACATTCACACCCGCTGCTTTAATGAGGGCATTGATCTTATCCTCCGTGACCGTCACCTCGTCGTCGTGCAGGATGAGGGCCGAGTAGATGCAGGCGAGCTCCGAGACGGAGGCCATGGCGAGGGCGCGTGCCGAGCGCGGTGCTAGTCGCCGGCTGAAGTGAGGGCCTCACCCCAACGCGGCCTTAGCTTCCTCGGAAGGACCGAGCACCTTAGCGGCAGCTGAGGAAAGGAAACAAATTTTAAATAATAAAAAACAAATAGGTGGTACCAGAGGGGAGGGAGGATGCATGAACTAGGTGATGCAGATTAAGGAGGGCACTTGTGATGAGCACCAGGTGATATATGGAAATGTTGAATCACTATATTGTACACCTAAAACTAATATTACACTGTATTTTAACTGGAATTAAAATAAAAAATTCAAAAGCCAAAACAAAAAAATAAAGAGAAGCTGACACTTGCTTTACCATTTTCATCCCAACTTCACATCTAAGTAATTATCATCACAACTTTCAGAAGTTTATTATATTCCCCAGAACACCAGAAAGACAGTATTGAAGCTGCTATCAAAAACTCTTATAATTTTTAGGATTGTTTGAGATATTTGAGAATTTCTTTCAGCCATTCCAGAGAGATGGGTTTCTTTCCTGAATTTAAGGTTTTGAAGGGAAAACAGATGCTCTCTGCCCCTTTGATAACCTGCCTATATTAGTACCTCTCACGGTCTGGAAGTTCATCCTTATTTCTGGCCAGAACTCTTATGGCCACAAATTTTCTACCTTATCCCTAGTCTGATTCAGAAGACAGTGAAATAGAGTCAGCAGATTTCCTGTACATAGTAATTCTCCCTGTTTGTGAATAATCTCATCCTTCCTTAATTTAGGTGCTTCAGATAAAATAGTCATAAATCTCCTCTAACTTCACCCTATAAGTGTGGTTTTTTTCCAACACGGGCAATGCCAGTGCTATGATCTGTAAACAGCTGATCCTTGTTTTTTGTGGATTCTGTATTTGTAAATTCACCTACTCACTAAAATTTATTTGTAACCCCAAATTCAACATCCATGGTGCTTCTGTGGTCATTTTCACACATATTTAGGGCAGTGAAAAATTTGAGTCGCCTCCCACGCACACATTCCTAGATGAAATCAGTGTGACACTCAGCTTTCTCATCTTAGCTCTCACACTGTAAACAGGTGTTCATAGTCTACATAGCGCCTTGTTTTTCACATTTTGCACTGCCTTTTTTTTTTAAAGATATATTTATTAGAGAGAGAGTGTGCATGAGCACACAGAGGCAAAGGGAGAGGGAGAAGGAGACTCCTCACTGAGCAGGGAGCCCAGTGTGAGGCTCTCTCCCGGGACCCCAGGATCATGACCTGAGCTGAAGGCAGACACTTCACTGACTGAGCCACCCAAGTGCCCCAGGTTTTTGCACTTTTGTTGGTGATTTCTCCATTTATAATGTGAAGTGCTGTCTCGTGTTCCTAAGTGCAAGAAGGCCGGAGTGTGCCCTAGGGAGAAAATACATATATTAGGTAAGTATGTGCCTGAATTTTGGTGCTATTGGCTGTGAGTTCAAAGTTAATAACTCAATAAAATATATTAACTAAGGTATCCTTGGTATCTTTAAACACAAACACACTTAAGAGTGTGTTTTGATCAGTTGATAAAAATGTGACTGGAGACAGAAATCTAATCTTGTATTTCCTCCAAGAGCAATGGTTTATTTTTTTGGTTTTTGAAAGACTTTATTTATTCATGAGAGACAGAGGAGAGAGAGAGAGAGAGAGAGGCAGAGACACAGGCAGAAGGAGAAGCAGGCTCCATCCCAAGACACCAGGATCACACCCCACGCCAAAGGCAGACACTCAACCGCTGAGCCACCAGGCACCCCAGAGCAATGGTTTAATATTCACCAATTCAGCATTCACAGCAACTTTATAGAATATAACTACCACAAATACCAAGAATCAACTAATTCCTATGTTCTCTGTATTCTTAAATATCTCAGCTTAAAACAATTGAGGGTATGATTGGCAGGAAACATTGCACCATATTTTAATCCATTACAGTCACGATTTTTTTGATGTTCAAATTGTCCCTTCTTTGGACAATGGGAGGCCCCTACAAGTTGCCTGTATTATTTGATGTGACCCCATTAATCTTCAAAGCTTCCTTGTTTCCTGGCCACAGCAAAATGTCCCAGGCTCGTCTTGTACATTTCTTCCCCCAAACCTGGAATGAATCATTTTTTCAAGTAGCCTGGTTCCTCTTAGCCTGGAACAAAGCTAATGGAAAGAGGTGAAATGTGGAGGAGAGAGGACCACAACTTCCCAAGGACCCAGTGCTGGGCCACTGCATCAGTACTCCGAAGTTGGAAGCTTCCTGACAACCAGTGGGGACAGTAGAGGTCTCTTGCTCTCACAGCCCCTTCCACGTGCCCATCGCCTCCATCAGTAACATTCTTCCCTGTGTATCTTCCCAGCCAGGGCTGGCTCATGTTACTCAACTCTGAAAAGACGAAGTTCTAGGTTGGCATAAAAGAAAAGCTACTCCCTGCCAGTGTGGAATGAGAGGAAAGAAACAGAACTATAGGAAGACCCAGGCTGTGTGCAGTGAGCCCTCTGTTCCCAGGGCTAAGGTCCCAGTCACCGGCTATGGGGCTTTTTCTCCCAGGGATTTTTGTCTTTCCTGAACCCAGCTCTGCAGGAGATCTGCTTGTAATCTGATTTAGAGTGTACTCTTCTGGCAGGCAGTTTAGAGAGAAGTGTGATCACTGGGCTAGCCACAAAGGGGACATCCTGCAGAGTGGTTAAGAAAACTAAATTTAGAACCAAACAGACCTGGTCTGGACCCTGGCTGACTTTGCCACTAACAAGTCACATAAATTGAATGTTTCAAAGTTTAGATTAGGGGTACCTTGGTGGTACAGTTGTTTGGGCATCAGACTCTTGGTTTTGGCCCAGGTGTAATCTCAGGGTCGTGGAATCAAGTCCCACATGGGGCTCTGAGCTCAGTGTGGGGTCTGCTTAAAAGACTCTCTCCCTCTCCTGCTGCTCCTTCCCCCTCAAGTAAATAAATAAATCTTTTTTAAAAAGTTTAAATTAATAAATACCCTTAAGATGCCTGGGTGACTCAATCAGTTAAGCATTTGACTCTTGATCTCAGCTCAGGTCATGATCTCAAGGTTGTGAGTTCAAGCCCCACGTTGGGCTCCATGCTGGGAGTGGAGCTTACTTAAACAAAAACCCTTAAGAGAATGAAAAAGACAACTCATTAAGTGGGAGAAGATATTTGTAACACATCTAATCAATAAACAATCAATATCCAAAGATGCCTACAATTCAAGTTAAAAAAGACAAACTCAAAAGAAAAATTAGCAAAAGATAGGTATTTTGTGGACAGCAAATAACAAAAGATCCAGAAATACATAAATGTATGAAAGACATTCTGCCTATAATGGACACAGTGATATTGTCATCATGTAGCTGTTCTGAGCTAGCACCCTTAAACTCCTAGCTCAAAGAAAGGTAGCGATTACTATGACCAGAGACAGCAAAGGACAAGTGCATAACACAGTGATGAAGTGCACAGTCTTTAAAGCCAGACAAGCTTGACTGGAATCCAGACTCCACTTCTTAACCAGGTGACCTCGGGCAGGTTACTGACTATTTTCACTTCTCAGTTTCCTTATCTGTGAAAAGAATATGAAAAACCTTACTTTCATAAAGTTGTTGTAAGGATTAAATGATATGTTGTAAATGACATACTGAGCACAATGAGTCAACAAATAATGATGATGGTAAGTCAAAGACAAAATGAGGTACCCCACTGAGAGACAGTCCTCTTTCGAGTCCATAGTCTTAATGGTGCCATAGTAGTATGGGGTGCGAGAGGCAAATTCTGGTGAAAGGAAAAATTCAATAATTAGGACTGCCTTTCCTTATATTCCACAAGACAGCAGCTTCTCCTGAGTGTCATGATAGGGATAGAGCTCTAAACATTACAGCAAAAAAGCTGAAATAGCTCATCAGTAAAATGCTGCAAATGGGAGGGGCAGGGACAGAAATAGCCAAGAAATGTATGAAAAGATGCATTTCCCTGAATTATGAATGAGGCAGAGCATCTTTTCAACATTCATGTATCTTTTTTTTCATTCATGTGTTCCTTGACCATTTGTTGTTATCCCACTGTCCATGAAACACCTGTCTTTTCTAGTTTTTTCTATTGAGTTTGTCTTGTTCAACTTGAATTGTAGGCATGTTTGGATACTGATTGTTTATTGGCTAGATGTGCTATGAATATTTTCTTGGGGTGCCTGGGTGGCTCAGTCAGTTAATCATCTGCCTCAGCTCAGGTCATGAACTCAGGGTCCTGAGATTGAGCCCCACATTAGGCTTCCTGCCCAGCGGAGAGTCTGCTTCTCCCTCTGCCCCTCCTGCTTGTGCACTCTCTCTTTCTCAAATAAATAAATAAATAAATAAATAAAATCTTTTAAAATTTTTTCTCCTATTTTGTGGCTTGCCTTTTCACTCTTTTAAGGGTTTTCTTAGTTTAAAAATTCTTAATTAAAAGCCCTTAATTAAAAGCTCTAAGTTAATGCTTTATTTTTTTTCTCTATAGCTTATGTTTTTTGTTATGTTAAGAAAGTTTTTCCTAGGACACCTGGGTGACTCCATCAGTTAAGCTTCCAACGCTTGACTTTGGCTCAGGTCATGATCTCAGGATCGTGCAATTGTGCTCCACACTGGGCTCTGCTCTGGGTGTGGAGCCTGCTTAAGATTCTCTCTCTCTTTCTGCCCCGCCTCCATCTAAAAAATTTTACAAAGTATTTTTTTTTTCTTTCTACTAGTTCAGAAGTTATAGACTATTTCTGTTTTTTCAGTGGTTGCCCTAAATAATTAACATACATTTCATCTTGACAAAGCCTGAAATTGATCAATAGCTTTATTTTCCTTAGAAATAGTATGGGACCATAACGCACTTTGACTCCAAGCACTCCTCTCCCAACTAATCTGCTATTGTTGCTCATGATTTTAGTTCTATATTGATTTTTCAAACAACAGATAGAAAATATCATAATTTTTAAAAGTCGATAGGTTGACTTTACACATGTTTACCAATTTCTTTTTTTTACTGTTCCTTGTGAGTCTTGGACTTTTCATTCTAGAATAATTTTGCTTTTTCCTAAAGGACCTTGTTTAGAAATTTCTTTAGAAACTTAGGTCTATTTGTTGT